TGAGAGTCTGTGGGGTCTCTGAGAGTCTGCAGGGTCTGTGAGTGCTGGGTCTCTGTGAGAGTCTGTGGGGTCTCTGTGAGAGTCTGTGGGGTCTCTGTGAGAGTCTGTGGGGTCTCTGTGAGAGTCCGCAGGGTCTCTGTGGGTCTCTGTGCGAGTCTGCGGGGTCTCTGTGCGAGTCTGCGGGGCCTCTGTGAGAGTCTGCGGGGCCTCTGTGAGAGTCTGCGGGGCCTCTGTGAGAGTCTGCGGGGTCTCTGTGCAAGTCTGCGGGGTCTCTGTGCGAGTCTGCGGGGTCTCTGTGAGAGTCTGCGGGGTCTCTGTGAGAGTCTGCGGGGCCTCTGTGAGAGTCCGCGGGGTCTCTGTGCGAGTCCGCGGGGTCTCTGTGAGAGTCTGCGGGGCCTCTGTCAGAGTCTCGTCCCTTCACCTGATGAAGGCCGCTTGTGTTGTGGCCGAAACGTCGTGAGAATATTATTGTGGTATTTTATTTTGTCAATTTATTATTTTATTCTCATTCTACGTGACTTTACCGAAAGAACCAAAGAAGATGAATCCTTGCAGTCACGAAAGCTTTAAATCGAAGCTTTTTTTAATTTTTAATCCTTTCCCGTGTTCCGTGCCGTCTGCAGGTTGCAGGGTGGTGGGTCTCCCAAATCTCTCGAACACGCAAAGCCGCTCGGCGTTCATTCTCTTGAGAGAGGCGCCGTTGATTTTAAAGACATTGTTACCGCAGAGAAGCGTAGCGACACGACCGCCGGCATTCGACGTTAGCCAGGCGCCAAATCTGTCCCACACGCACCTCCTCTCGCGTGGTCTTGTGTGAGCCTCGGGTGGTTACGTCTTCCGGCCTGAAAATGCCCTGATGTTAAGTTGTTTTACTTCGGTTTTTCTTCGGATTTCCGTTCCGATGACATACGCGCACACACGTACGTCATCGTGACGGTACCGGAAGAGAAACTGATGACGTACACGCACACGTCATCGGAATGGGAAATGGTTGATGGGCTGTTGTCGCACAGTCGTGTTCGCCGATACGGTGTCGGATGTCTGCGAAGCGATCATCGCCATACCACTGCTGGTTCCCCCCCCCCCCCCCCCCCGAGCGTCTCCGTGAGAGTCCCTGCCCTCCCACGAGCCTTCCCCGTCGCTGCCGCTACCAGCCGTCTGTATCTGTGAGTGGGCGTGGTTCTGACCACCCACCCCCTCAACGTGCCGTGCCGGCCTTCACAGGTGCGACTCGCTAAAAGCACTTGCCACCAACGGTCTGTTGAGGTCTTTGTACGTCTGCAATTCTTTCGCACCGTACGTAGCCCACCGTGCTAATCGGAGGTGCGGGGGAAGGACAACAAACTTAAAGGCAACAACAAAAAGCAGCTACGAAAGGAACGAGTTTGTCGATTTAGATGATGATTTAAAAACCCACAGCTCCAGTGGCTTCCTAGTGTCACAAAGGAGGAGGAGCGTTCCCCACGGCCGCCGAAGCGCATCTGAAGAACGTCTTAACGCTTGCTGTGCGCTCCACGCTGGGAGAAAATAACGGTGAATAATTTATCACACGTGGCTCTGGCGCTCGCGTTCCTACGGCCTGCGGCTGCTGCGGCTGCTGCTGCGGCTGCTGCTGCTGCTGCGGCTGCTGCTACTGCTGCTGCTGCGGCTGCTGCTGCTGCTACGGCTGCTGCTGCTGCTACGTACGACCCCAATTGAGTAATTTGCAGTGTTGAGGTTTTGAAATTGGGAGCTGATCCCCCGCCGGTGGCACACGGCGGCTCCGCTCTTGCCCAACGATGTCACTGGAATCTGTAACGCCAGCTGGGAGCACAGCAGACGGATTGTAGTAGTCGTAGTCGTAGTGGTGGTCAAAGTAGTAGTAGTGGTCATAGTTGTAGTCGTAATAGTAGTGGTGGTCATAGTACTGGTGGTCATAGTAGTAGCAGTGGTAGTAGTGGTCATAGTAGTAGTAGTAGTGGTCATAGTAGTAGTAGTAGTGGTCATAGTAGTCGTAGTGGTCGTGGTAGTGGTGGTCGTAGTTGTGGTAATACTCTCCATAGTCGTAGTGGTATTAGTCGTAGTACTAGTAGTACTAGTCGTAGTACTAGCCATAGTCGTAGTACTAGCCGTACTAGTCGTAGTACTAGCCATAGTCGTAGTAGTACTAGTCGTTGTACTAGCCATAGTCGTAGTAGTACTAGTCGTTGTACTAGCCATAGTCGTAGTACTAGTCGTAGTACTAGCCATAGTCGTAGTACTAGTAGTACTAGCCATAGTCGTAGTACTAGTCGTAGTACTAGCCATAGTCGTAGTACTAGTCGTAGTACTAGCCATAGTCGTAGTACTAGTCGTAGTACTAGCCATAGTCGTAGTACTAGCCATAGTCGTAGTACTAGCCGTAGTACTAGTCGTAGTACTAGCCATAGTCGTAGTACTAGTCGTAGTACTAGCCATAGTCGTAGTACTAGTCGTAGTACTAGCCATAGTCGTAGTACTAGTCGTAGTACTAGCCATAGTCGTAGTACTAGTCGTAGTACTAGCCATAGTCGTAGTACTAGTCGTAGTACTAGCCATAGTAGTAGTACTAGTCGTAGTACTAGCCATAGTCGTAGTACTAGTCGTAGTACTAGCCATAGTCGTAGTACTAGCCGTAGTACTAGCCATAGTCGTAGTACTAGCCATAGTCGTAGTACTAGTCGTAGTACTAGCCATAGTCGTAGTACTAGTCGTAGTACTAGCCATAGTCGTAGTACTAGTCGTAGTACTAGCCATAGTCGTAGTACTAGTCGTAGTACTAGCCATAGTCGTAGTACTAGTCGTAGTACTAGCCATAGTCGTAGTACTAGTCGTAGTACTAGCCATAGTCGTAGTACTAGTCGTAGTACTAGCCATAGTCCTAGCCATAGTCGTAGTACTAGTTGTAATAGTACTAGTCATTGTCGTAGTACTAGTTATAGTCGTAGTAGTACTAGTCGTAGTAACTAGCCATAGTCGTAGTAGTACTAGTCGTAGTACTAGCCATAGTCGTAGTAGTACTAGTCGTAGTACTAGCCATAGTCGTAGTAAGTACTAGTCGTAGTACTAGCCATAGTCGTAGTAGTACTAGTCGTAGTACTAGCCATAGTCGTAGTAGTACTAGTCGTAGTACTAGCCATAGTCGTAGTAGTACTAGTCGTAGTACTAGCCATAGTCGTAGTAGTACTAGTCGTAGTACTAGCCATAGTCGTAGTAGTACTAGTCGTAGTACTAGCCATAGTCGTAGTAGTACTAGTCGTAGTACTAGCCATAGTCGTAGTAGTACTAGTCGTAGTACTAGCCATAGTCGTAGTAGTACTAGTCGTAGTACTAGCCATAGTCCGTAGTAGTACTAGTCGTAGTACTAGCCATAGTCGTAGTAGTACTAGTCGTAGTACTTGCCATAGTCGTAGTAGTACTAGTCATAGTACTTGCCATAGTCGTAGTAGTACTAGTCGTAGTTATAGTCATAGTACTAGTTATAGTCGTAGTAGTACTAGTCATAGTACTAGTTATAGTCGTAGTAGTACTAGTCGTAGTAGTATTAGTTATAGTCGTAGTCGTAATGGTAGTCTGAGTAGTTGACGTATTTGACGGTCAACACTCGGACAGCGTGGTAATAACCGGGGCGGCCTGCCGGATAACGACCACGAACCTCGCTACTGCTGGGCCGCGTCACCGCTTTCACCGTGTCCATGCCAAAATCGAATGCTCTGAAGAAGGGTCATTGCCCGAAACGCCGCCTATTTGTTCCTTTTAAGAACGCGAATCTTTATTTAGATCTTAGGAGGAATCCGATGAGCTATGAAGCTCTTTACGCACAGATGTCCAGTCGTGGGCACGGGGTCACAGCAAAGTTACAACAGCACAACACAATGCTAACAACAGCACGATCGGAGTACAGCATAGAGAAGATTGTGAGCTAGTCGATACATAATACATGCTTAATACATAATAGAGTTTTAATTGGGTTAGATCACGTAATATATAAATGTGTCGTTAAAACCCACCACCATCCGACACAGCCAACTAGTAATGGCTGTCGCATAAACAGAATGTGGCTAAATTCGTCACTAGTACAACACACCTCCGTGTCGGAGAGCCAAGCCACAACATTTACAATCTGAGTACGACGTTTCGCCAGTAATCACAACCAGCTTCATCAGGCGACAGCCAAAACGAAAACCTGTTTTATGGATGCCATTGGTCGCCAAAGCTTTCTACGTGTCAAACTCGCATTTACACAGTGCGTCTGCGCATCCAGCACCAATCTCCTGCTTACCCGGTCTGTTGTTTGAGGCCCGGTGAAAACGCTGTTCTAGTAGATACGCGAGCATGTGGAGTTGGTGGTTGTTGTGGTGGTGGTTGTGGTGGTTGTCAGTGCTGATGAGACCGCAGGGACTGCATCGGTAGGGGGCGGCGAGTGACCTTCCACTGCGGCCTTCTCTCTCTGTCTCTCCGCGTGCAGGTGGCCATTAAGATCGTGGACAAGACGCAGCTGGACGAGGAAAACCTCAAGAAAATTTTTCGCGAGGTCCAAATCATGAAGATGCTGAAGCACCCACACATAGTGCGCCTATACCAGGTATGCGGTCTCCCTCCCCGCCTCACCGCTCCCCCTTCCCCACCTTGCGCCCCGAGTTGCAACGTGCGAGCGAGCCGTGCGTTGAACCCGTGTGTGTGCGGTGCCCCCCTCCCGCAGGTGATGGAGACGGAGAGGATGATCTACCTGGTGACTGAGTACGCCATGGCGGAGAGATCTTCGGTGAGGGCCGAGCCGGCACCGGCACCGCGGTCCACCGGGGTTCAATCCCAGAGCCCCCTGGGCTCGCGCTCGCTGTGCGCACGCAACACGTGGGAGTGTCGCCTCTGCACCCACACTCGCTGAAGACGTTGCACCTCTCCGCCCCTCCCCGTGTCTCTCATTTACTCCCCTCGACTCCCCTCGACTCCCCTCTCCTCCGCCGTCCCACCGTCTCGTCCCGCCCGCCCGCCCTCCCCAGACCACCTGGTGGCGCACGGGAGGATGGCGGAGAAGGACGCGCGTCGCAAGTTCAAGCAGATTGTGGCGGCGGTGAACTTCTGCCACTCGCGCCGCGTGGTGCACCGTGACCTCAAGGCCGAGAACCTGCTGCTGGACCACAACCTGAACATCAAGATCGCCGGTCGGCCTCGCTCGCTCGCTCGCTCACTCCCACACTCATTCGTATGCTCAATCGCTCCCACACTCATTCGTACGCTCGCTCACTCAATCACTCGCACACTCACAGCCTTGCTCGCTCGCTCGCTCACTCCCACACTCATTCGTACGCTCAATCACTCCCACACATTCGTACGCTCGCTCACTCAATCACTCGCACACTCACAGCCTTGCTCGCTCGCTCACTCTCACACTCATTCGTACACTCAATCACTCCCACACATTCGTACGCTCGCTCACTCAATCACTCGCACACTCACAGCCTTGCTCGCTCACGTCACTCCCACACTCATTCGTACGCTCACTCACTCCCACACTCATTCGTATGCTCACTCACTCCCACACTCATTCGTACGCTCGCTCACTCCCACACTCATTCGTACGCTCGCTCACTCCCACACTCATTTGTACGCTCGCTCACTCCCACACTCATTCGTACGCTCGCTCACTCCCACACTCATTCGTACGCTCGCTCACTCCCACACTCATTCGTACGCTCGCTCACTCCCACACTCATTTGTACGCTCGCTCACTCCCACACTCATTAGTACGCTCGCTCACTCCCACACTCATTCGTACGCTCGCTCACTCCCACACTCATTCGTACGCTCACTCACTCAATCACTCGCACACTCATAGCCTTGCTTGCTCGCTCAATCACTCCCACACTCATTCATACGCTTGCTCACTCCCACACTCATTCATACGCTCGCTCACTTCCCACACTCATTCGTACGCTCGCTCACTCCCACACTCATTCATACGCTCACGTCCCACACTCATTCATACGCTTGCTCACTCCCACACTCATTCGTAACGCTCACGTCCCACACTCATTCGTACACTCGCTCACTCCCACACTCATTCGTACGCTCACTCACTCCCACACTCATTCGAACGCTCGCTCACTCCCACACTCATTCGTACGCTCGCTCACTCCCACACTCATTCGTACGCTCGCTCACTCAACCACTCGCAAACTCACAGCCTTGCTTGCTCGCTCACTCACTCCCACACTCATTCATATGCTCACTCACTCCCACACACATTCGTACGCTCAGTCACTCCCACACTCATTCGTACGCTCAATCACTCCCACACTCATTCGTACGCTCAATCACCCCCACACTCATTCGTACGCTCGCTCACTCCCACACTCATTCGCTCGCTCGCACGCTCACTCACTCCCACGCTCATTCGCTCGCTCGCTCACTCGCTCGCTCACTCCCGCGCTCATTAACATGCTCACTCGCTCAATCACTCGCTCCCACACTTATTCGATCGGTCACTCGCTCGGTCACTCGCTCGGTCACTCGCTCGGTCACTCGCTCGGTCACTCCCACGCTAATTCACACGCTCGCTCACTCGCTCACTCCCACCTCCCACGCTCATACGCTCGCTCAATCGCTAACTCGCACGCTCATTTGCTCACTCGCACGCTCATTCACACGTTCACTCACTCGTGCTCCCGCTCACTCGGACACTCGCTCGCGCGCGTCAACAGACGCAAAGATCCTCCGCGCGTAGCCTTTAGCAGACTGCCGGGGCAAGTTCTGTCCTCGAGCACCGACGGAGGGTCGGCACGGCGCAAGACGGGGTTGTGTGAACCGCGTTGCCGCGGCATTGTGTGGCGGCCGTGCCGTCTCCGGCGTCCCGCGGGATGCGCCGGGGGCCACGCGGCGGCGGCGGCGGCAGGAAGGGCGGAGCGCGGCGCAGACAAAGCTCCCCCGTGTAGCCTCGCGGGACCGCTGGGGGCAAGTGCCGTTGGCGAGCGGCGCCTGCGAAGGGCCGGCGCGGCCGCCGCCTCGAGCGGGGCTGGATTCCCGGCAACCTCGCCCCACGGGGCCGTCTTTGTCTCCCCGACGCCGATGTGAGGCCGAGTCTCGCCCTAGGCGAGGCCCGGGCCCTGGGTTTCGATGGTCGGCACGAATGTTGGCCGTGAGCGGGAATCGGAACCCGGGTTTGCGAGGTTCGTCGCGCGATGCGCTACCCGCTGCACGGGCCCACGCGCTCGCGCTGACGTTCCGATTCGCCTACACGCCAACACACGCCAACACACGCCAACACACGCCAACACACGCCAACACGCCAACACACGCCAACACACGCCAACACACGCCAACACACGCCAACACACGCAACCATCGATTCAATTACTCGCTTGCACGCTCGCTCGCCGACTTGCCGAATCGCTCACTCGTTCCCTTTCCTGCTCGGACACAATCACTAGTTTCTCACTTGTTCAGTCTTCTCATTCGCTGACAAGACTACCCAGGCCCTCGCCACCACAGACACTGAACTCTACACACTGACACACACCGTCACACACACACATGCCATAACACACTGAACCATACACACACCACCACGTCGCACAACCCCACATCCACAGTGACGCACGCACGCTGAAACCTACACGCCACACCCCTGTACACCCCTGTACACACATTCACATCCCCACACACACACACACGCACACACACATCCCCACACACACACACACGCACACACACATCCCCACACACACACACACGCACACACACATCCCCGCACGCACACACACATCCCCGCACGCACACACACGCACACACACATCCCCGCACGCACGTACACACACACACATCCCCGCACGCACACACACATCCCCGCACGCACACACACACGTGTGCACATCCTGTCTCTTCCCAGGCGACGGGCGCGAGGGCGACGTGAGCAGCATTGTCAGCAGCTTCCTGTGCCTCCTCCCCCTCCTCCTCCCTCACCATCTCGCTCCCCTCCCTCACCATCTCGCTCCTCTCCCTCACCATCTCACTCCCCTCCCTCACCATCTCGCTCCTCTCCCTCACCATCTCGCTCCCCTCCCTCACCATCTCGCTCCCCTCCCTCACCATCTCACTCCCCTCTCTCACCATCTCACTCCCCTCTCTCACCATCTCACTCCCCTCTCTCACCATCTCACTCCCCTCTCTCACCATCTCGCTCCCCTCCCTCACCATCTCACTCCCCTCTCTCACCATCTCACTCCTCTCCCTCACCATCTCACTCCCCTCCCTCACCATCTCACTCCCCTCCCTCACCATCTCACTCCCCTCTCTCACCATCTCACTCCCCTCCCTCACCATCTCGCTCCCCTCCCCCCCCTCCTCGCTCCCCCCCCCCCTCGCTCCCCTCCCTCACCATCTCACTCCCCTCCCTCACCATCTCACTCCCCTCCCTCACCATCTCACTCCCCTCCCTCACCATCTCGCTCCCCTCCCTCACCATCTCGCTCCCCTCCCTCACCATCTCACTCCCCTCCCTCACCATCTCGCTCCCCTCCCCCCCCTCCTCGCTCCCCCCCCCCCCTCGCTCCTCTCCCTCACCATCTCGCTCCCCTCCCTCACCATCCTGCTCCCTCCCTCACCATCTCGCTCCCCTCCCTCACCATCTCGCTCCCCTCCCTCACCATCTCGCTCCCCTCCCTCACCATCTCGCTCCCCTCCCCTCCCTCCTCGCTCCCCTCCCCTCCCTCCTCGCTCCCCCCCCTCGCTCCCCCCCCTCGCTCCCCTCCCCTCGCTCCTCCCCTTCTTTGCTCGCCCCCCTGCTCCCCCCTTCTCGCTCCCCCCTCTCGCTCCCCCCCCCCCTCGCTCCCCCCTTGCAGGTGACACGGGAGTTCCACACCAACAGCCCCTCGTACTTGCCCTGTACTGCCCTTGCCTGTGCACTAGAGGGCAATGCCCCCTTGTTCACGGCATGCTAACGAGGTGCTGTGAAGAAGGGCCCTTGCCCGAAACGTCGCCCATGGGTGCTGTGTCATCGCCGTGCGGCGATGCGCGTGCGTGAGCTCGGTACTGGTGAGCACGCGGTGCGGAATGTGAACATCATCAACAAGTGTGGCAGACAAAGGTGGCCGGTTTTGGTGTCCGGCCACACCCCCTCCAACCTCGTGTGCCGTGCCGACCTCCGTCGGTGACGCTACTCTTTACATACACTTGCCCCCAGCAGCCTGGCGAAGGCTGCACGGGCGACGTGTTGTGGGAGTGTGTGTGGGAGTGTGTGTGGGAGTGTGTGTGGGAGTGTGTGTGGGAGTGTGTGTGGGAGTGTGTGTGGGAGTGTGTGTGGGAGTGTGTGAGTGTTGTGTGTGAGTGTGAGTATGGTGTGTGTGTTTGTGGGGGTGTTTGTGTGAGTGGGAGTGTGTGTTGTGTGTGAGTGTGGGAGTGTTTGTGTGGGAGTGTAGGAGTGTTTGTGAGTGGTGTGTGTGTGTGTGTGAGAGTGTGGTGTGGTGTGGTGTGTGTTGGAGTGTTTGTGTGTGAGTGTGGGAGTGTTTGTGTGAGTGGTGTGTGTTGGAGTGTTTGTGTGCGAGTGTGGGGAGCGGTGGTGCAGCGGTTAGCGCGCCACGCGAGGAACCCAGCGACTTCGCTCGCGGCCAACACCGGTGCAGATTAATTCTACCGCTCCCGGGCCTCCTCTAGGTCGACTCGAACGAGTAACCGGCGCGTTGGGTAAACATCGCCACCGGGGAGACAAAGGCGGCCGGGCGTGGCGCCGGCCACCCCACCCCCTCGTGCGCCGCGGCGCCGGTAGCCTCGGTAGGTGCCGCGACTCCACGGCGGCACTTGCCCCGGCAGCGTTGCGAAGGCTACACGGGGGACCTGCGTCTGGTGTGCGCGAGCAGATTTTGGATTCAGTAACCGCTTCACGCCGGGGCAGCTGCTCAAGACATGGTGCGGCAGCCCCCCGTACGCGGCGCCGGAACTCTTCGAGGGCAAGGAGTACGAGGGACCCAAGGTGGACATCTGGGTGAGTGTTGGTGGGTGGTGGAGGGGTGGTGGAGGGGTGGGTGAGTGGGTGGTGGAGGGGTGGGTGAGTGTTGGTGGGTGGTGGAGGGGTGGGTGGTGGAGGGGTGAGTGGGTGGTGGAGGGGTGGGTGAGTGGGTGGTGGAGGGGTGGGTGAGTGTTGGTGGGTGGTGGAGGAGTGGGTGGTGGAGGGGTGGGGTGGGTGAGTGGGTGGTGGAGGGGTGGGTGGGTGAGTGGGTGGTGGAGGGGTGGGTGGGTGAGTGGGTGGTGGAGGGGTGGTGGAGGCGTGAGTGGGTGGTGGAGGGGTGAGTGTTGGTGGGTGGGGGAGGGGTGGGTTAGTGGGTGGTGGAGGGGTGGGTTAGTGGGTGGTGGAGGGGTGGGTTAGTGGGTGGTGGAGGGGTGGGTTAGTGGGTGGTGGAGGGGTGGGTTAGTGGGTGGTGGAGGGGTGGGTTAGTGGGTGGTGGAGGGGTGGGTTAGTGGGTGGTGGAGGGGTGGGTTAGTGGGTGGTGGAGGGGTGGGGTTAGTGGTGGCGGAGGGGTGGGTGAGTGAGTGGGTGGTGGAGGGGTGGGTGAGTGGGTGGTGGAGGGGTGAGTGTTGGTGGAGGGGTGGGTGGTGGAGGGGTGGGTGAGTGGGTGGTGGAGGGGTGGGTGGGTGGTGGAGGGGTGGGTGGGTGGTGGAGGGGTGGAGGGGTGGGTGGGTGGTGGAGGGGTGGGTGGTGGAGAGGTGGGTGGGGTGGTGGAGGGGTGGGTGGGTGGTGGGGGGGTGGGTGGGTGGTGGAGGGATGGGTGGGTGGTGGAGCGGTGGTGGAGGGGTGGGTGGTGGAGGGGTGGTGGGTGGAGTGGGTGGTGGAGGGTGGGTGAGTGGTGGAGCGGTGGTGGAGGGGTGGGTGGTGGAGGGGTGGTGGGTGAGTGGGTGGTGGAGGGGTGGGTGAGTGAGTGAGTGGGTGGTGGGGGGGTGGGTGAGTGACGTGGATGGTGGAGGGGTGGTGGGTGAGTGGATGGTGGAGGGGTGGTGGGTGAGTGGATGGTGGGGGGGTGGTGGGTGAGTGGATGGTGGGGGGGGTGGTGGGTGAGTGGATGGTGGAGGGGGTGGTGGGTGAGTGGATGGTGGAGGGGTGATGGGTGTGTGGTGGAGGGGTGGGTGAGTGTGTGGGTGTGTCGACCCGTGGGTGAGTGTGTGGGGTGTGTCGACCCATGGGCACTTGTATCTGACCCCGTGACCTGCCAGTGGACGTTCGACACTTTAGGTGCCCTCAAAGTGCACACAGCCTGGCACAACCGCCGTGGTGATGTCACCGCCACGTAGTGGAGAATGGCGGCTGTTGTGGGCTTTTGGGAGTGCAACGGTTAGCGCTACGCTGCGCTATGAACCCGGCGACCCGGGTTCGATTCCCGCTCACGGCCAACACCGGTGACGATTACCTGAACCGGTCACGGACCTCCCCTAGGGCGACTTGGCCTCAAATGAGTGCCTGGTGCGGTGTGTAGTAAACATCGCCACTGGGGAGACAAAGGCGGCCGGGCTTGGTGCTGGTCACCTACCCCCTCGTGTGCCATGCCGGCCTTCATAGGTGCTCGCTAACAGCACTTGCCCCTACAGCCTGTTAGGGCTATACGGGGGGGGGGTCTTTGTTGGGTTTCTGTGCGTGTGTATGAATGTATGAACGTGTGTCTGAGTGAGCGTGTGTCTGAGTGAGCGTGTGTATGAATGTATGAGCGTGCGTCTGAGTGAGCGTGTGTATGAATGTATGAACGTGTGTCTGAGTGAGCGTGCGTCTGAGTGAGCGTGTGTATGAATGTATGAACGTGTGTCTGAGTGAGCGTGTGTATGAGTGAGCGTGTGTATGAATGTATGAGCGTGTGTCTGAGTGAGCGTGTGTATGAGTGAGTGTGTGTCTGAGTAAGCGTGTGTATGAATATATGAACGTGCGTCTGAGTGAGCGTGTGTATGAATGTATGAACGTGCGTCTGAGTGAGCGTGTGTATAAATATATGAGCGTGTGTCTGAGTGAGCGTGTGTATGAGTGAGCGTGTGTATGAATGTATGAACGTGCGTCTGAGTGAGCGTGTATATGAATGTATGAGCGTGTGTATGAATGTATGAGCGTGTGGTCTGAGTGAGCGTGTGTATGAATGTATGAGCGTCCGTCTGAGTGAGCGTGGTGTATGAAATGTATGAGCGTGTGTCTGAGTGAGCGTGTGTATGAGTGAGTGTGTCTGAGTAAGCGTGTGTATGAATGTATGAACGTGCGTCTGAGTAAGCGTGTGTATGAATGTATGAACGTGCGTCTGAGTGTGTGTGTGTATGAATGTATGAACGTGTGTCTGAGTGAGCGAGTGTATGAATGTATGAACGTGTCTGAGTGAACGTGTGTCTGAGTGAGCGTGTGTATGAATGTAATGAGCGTGTGTCTGAGTGAGCGTGTGTATGAATGTATGAGCGTGTGTCCTGAGTGTGTGTGGACACGGTCTCTGGGCGTGGTGCCGTGCGTGCCCGTGAGTGTTCGCGTGCTGCTGAGGGAGCGGTGGCGCAGCGGTCGGCGCGCTGCGCTAACAGCCCTTGCCCCAAGCAGTCTGTCGAGGCTACACGGGTGATCTTTGTGCGTGCGTAGTCTCGGCGTGGTGTGCTGTACGTGCTGGTGTGCGGAGCGCTGCCGTTTGACGGGAGCACGCTGCAGAACCTACGCGCTCGTGTACTCAGCGGGAAGTTCCGCATACCCTTCTTCATGTCCACAGGTACGCACGTGGCTACGCACGCAGTACGCACACGGTACACACGCACGCAGCTACATGCACAGCCACTCACGCAGCTGCACGCACGCAGCTACACGCACACACGACCACGTACACACAGCCACGTACACAGCTACACGCACGGCCACGCACGCACGGCCACGCACGGCACGCCACGCACGCACGGCCACCCACGCACGCACGGCCACGCACGCACGGCCACGCACGCACGGCCACGCACGCACGGCCACGCAACGCACGGCCACGCACCACGCCAGCACGCACGGCCACCGGCCACGCACGCCACGCGGCCACGCACGCACGGCCAACGCACGCACGCCACGCACACGCACGGCCACGTACACAGCTGCACGCACGGCCACGCACGCAGCTACATGCACAGCCACTCACGCAGCTGCACGCACGCACGCAGCTACACGCACAGCCACGCACGCAGCCACGCACGCAGCCACATGCACAGCCACCTACGCAGCTGCACGCACGCAGCTACACGAACACACGACCACGTACGCACGGCCACGTACACACAGCTACGTACACAGCTACACGCACGCACGGCCACGCACAAGCTCCGCTGACGTTGCTTGCCGCCCCGCATCCTTGTGCGTGCCACCGTGCTGGTGGTGGTGGTGGTGGGGGGGAACTTTTGTCCGCGTGGCAGAATGCGAGCACCTCATCCGCCACATGCTGGTGCTGGAGCCCAGCAAGAGGCTCAGCATGGAGCAGGCCTGCAGACACAAGTGGAATGAAGTCTGGAGACCCCGACCCGGAGTCGATCGGGTCGGTGGACGGGACGCTCGCGCCGCACGCGCGCACGCAAGATAAAGATCCCCCGCGTAGCCTTAACAGGCTGTCGGGGCAAGTGCTGTCGGCGAGCGGCGGCGGCAGCAGCTCCCGTCGAAGGCCGGCGCGGCACGCGAGGGGGGGTCGGTGGCCAACGCGCGCCCGGCCGCCTTTGTCCCCCGGTGAAGATGTTTACACACCGCACCAGGTGCTCACAAGGCTAAGCTAAGTCGACCTAGGGGAGACCCGTAATAGGCTCGGATAATCGTCACCCGGTGTTGGCCGTGGAGCGGGAATTGAACTCGTGTTGCCGGGTTTGTAGGCGAGCGCGCTAATGGCGGTACTGCCGCTCCCCTCGCGCTCGTTAACGCACTCGCATACATACGCAAAGGCATACTCATTCATGCATGTAGACCAATGCTATTACCCGCCATTCGCCAGCAAGTGACGGTGACGTCACCACGGCGCCTGTGCCTGGCTAGGTGCGCTTTGAGGGCGTCGCGTGAAGTGTCGACGGCTCAATGCTGACGGGAGGTCACGGGGCAGACTCAGGTGCCGGGAGTCGGCTGACTGAGATGACTGGCTGATGCACCACCAGCTGTACCCCCCACTGCGCCGACTTTGCTGTATTTTAGTCGCCCGGCGCTCCGCCCGTTGTTGTGAAGCTGCTTGGGCATGCGGTGGCTGGGCATGTGGGCTACATGACCCAGCCAACGCAGCCTTGCCTGGCGGAGGAGCTCACCGATGGGACTTTGTCCAGATCTTTCAAGGATTTGTGAGCTCCTCACACAATCCAGCCTGCAGGTTAAACCCAGGATAGATCGTGTAGGCAGGCCAGCCTGAATGTGTTTAACCGGCGAAGATGTTCCATTAGAGAGGTCCACGTTTCACACCGTAGAGTAGAGGGAGGGCATGACTGGCCGAGAAGACCCAAAGCTTCGTGCGGAACGACAGACCAGGTAGCTTCCACACAGCGTTACGCACCGATGAAAAGATATTGCCGCTCGACTGATTCGGAGTGAGACCTCTGCTGTTAAACCGGAGCCGGTCATAAGCACACTGGCGAGGTATGGGAAATCTCCACTCTCTCCACAACTGCCCCATCACCGATTGGGAGTTGTGGGGGTGGAGTGTCCGATGGTACAAAATACCCAGGCAGGTGCTTAGTTTTGGTGGGCTGATGGTAAGGCCCCATCTCTTAGTGGCACGCTCCAGGTTCATCACCTCCAACTCTTCCTTTGAGGCGAGCAGCAATCATGTGCACAGATTGTACACATCCACACACGCCTCTCTCTCGCACACGCGCGCCGCATGTTCACCTATACGCACTCACCGGCTCACAGGCACACACTGTGGTGCATTGAGGCAGTGAGGCGCTCGCTCGCTCGCTCCCACGATCTCCACTCCGCACCTCTCCGTGCGCGCTCGCCGTTCGCGGCCTCCCCGGCTCTCCCCTCGCTCCCCGCTCATCCCCCCCTCCTCTCGTGCCCGAGTGCGGGTCCCCTCTCCCAGCTCATCGTGGAGTGAGTGCCAGCAGGCGCAGACGGAGCTGGACGCCGAGGAGGTGAACGAGCAGGTGCTCGCACAGATGGCCTCCATGCACATCGACCGGAGCGCACAGTGCAGGTGGGACTCCCCCCGCTCGCAAGCAGGGTGCCGCACCACCCATGCTGCACGGTGCTTGTCTGTGTGTGTGGGAACTTGTCTCTGTGTGTGTGGGAACTTGTCTCTGTGTGTGTGTGTGGTGGAACTTGTCTGTGTGTGTGGGAACTTGTCTGTGTGTGTGTGGGAACTTTTCTGTCTGTGTGTGTGTGGGAACTTATCTGTGTGTGTGTGTGTGGTGGAACTTGTCTGTGTGTGTGTGGGAACTTGTCTGTGTGTGTGTGTGTGGGAACTTGTCTCTGTGTGTGTGGGAACTTGTCTCTGTGTGTGTGGGAACTTGTCTCTGTGTGTGTGGGAACTTGTCTGTGTGTGTGGGAACTTGTCTCTGTGGGGGAACTTGTATGTGTGTGTGTGTGGGAACTTGTCTGTGTGTGTGGGAACTTGTCTGTGTGTGTGGGAACTTGTCTGTGTGTGTGGGAACTTGTCTGTCTGTGTGTGTGGGAACTTGTCTGTCTGTGTGTGTGGGAACTTGTCTGTCTGTGTGTGGGAACTTGTCTGTTGTGTGTGTGGGAACTTGTCTGTCTGTGTGTGTGGGAACTTGTCTGTCTGTGTGTGTGGGAACTTGTCTGTCTGTGTGTGGGAACTTGTCTGTGTGTGTGTGGGAACTTGCCTGTGTGTGGAAACTTGTCTGTGTGTGTGGGAACTTGTCTGTGTGTGTGGGAACTTGCCTGTGTGTGGAAACTTGTCTGTGTGTGTGGGAACTTGTCTGTGTGTGTGGGAACTTGTCTGTGTGTGTGTGGGAACTTGTCTGTGTGTGTGGGAACTTGTCTGTGTGTGTGGGAACTTGTCTGTGTGTGTGGGAACTTGTCTGTGTGTGTGTGGGAACTTGTCTGTGTGTGTGGGAACTTGTCTGTGTGTGTGAACTTGTCTGTGTGTGGGAACTTGTCTGTGTGTGTGTGAACTTGTCTGTGTGTGTGTGGGAACTTGTCTGTGTGTGGGAACTTGTCTGTGTGTGTGGGGACTTGTCTGTGTGTGTGTGTGGGAACTTGTCTCTGTGTGGGGGAACTTGTCTGTGTGTGTGGGGGAACTTGTCTGTGTGTGTGTGGGAACTTGTCTGTGTGTGAACTTGTCTGTGTGTGTGGGAACTTGTCTGTGTGTGTGTGGGAACTTGTGTGTGTGTGGGGACTTGTCTGTGTGCGTGTGGGAACTTGTCTGTGTGTGTGGGAACTTGTCTGTGTGTGTGGGAACTTGTGTGTGTGTGGGAACTTGTCTGTGTGTGTGTGTGAACTTGTGTGTGTGTGTGGGAACTTGTCTGTGTGTGTGTGTGTGTGGGAACTTGTCTGTGTGTGTGTGGGAACTTGTCTGTGTGTGTGGGAACTTGTCTGTGTGTGTGGGAACTTGTCTGTGTGTGTGGGAACTTGTGTGTGTGTGTGTGGGAGCTTGTCTGTGTGTGTGGGAACTTGTCTGTGTGTGTGGGAACTTGTGTGTGTGTGTGGGGGGGAACTTGTCTGTGTGGGGGGGAACTTGTCTGTGTGGGGGGGAACTTGTCTGTGTCTGTGGGAACTTGTCTCTGTGTGTGTGGGAACTTGTCTCTGTGTGTGTGGGAACTTGTGTCTGTCCGTGGGGGAACTTGTGTGTGTCTGTGTGTGTGGGAACTTGTGTGTGTGTGTGGGAACTTGTCTGGGTGTGTGTGGGAACTTGTCTGTGTGTGTGTGGGAGCTTGTCTGTGTGTGTGGGAACTTGTCTCTGTGTGTGTGTGTGGGAACTTGTCTCTGTGTGTGTGTGTGGGAACTTGTCTGTGTGTGTGTGTGTGGGAACTTGTCTGTGTGTGAGCTTGTCTGTGTGTGTGGGAACTTGTCTGTGTGTGTGGGAACTTGTGTGTGTGTGGGAACTTGTCTGTGTGTGTGGGAACTTGTCTGTGTGTGTGGGAACTTGTCTGTGTGTGTGTGGGAACTTGTCTGTGTGTGTGTGGGAACTTGTCTGTGTGTGTGTGGGAACTTGTCTGTGTCTGTGGGAACTTGTCTGTGTGTGTGGGAACTTGTCTGTCTGTGTGTGTGGGAACTTGTCTCTGTGTGTGTGGGAACTTGTCTGTATGTGTGTGGGAACTTGTCTGTGTCTGTGGGAACTTGTCTGTGTGTGTGTGTGTTGGGGAACTTGTCTGTGTGTGTGTGCAGTCGCTACAGACGCAGCAGTCCTACGACCACCACAGCGCCATCTACTACCTGCTGTGCGACAAGATGAAGCGCAGCGACAAGCTGAAGAGGGCTCAGCCCTGCCCAGGGCCCTACCAGCCTGCCGCACAGGTACCGCAGCGGAGGGGCAGCGGAGGGGCAGCGGAGGGGCAGCGGAGGGGCAGTGGAGGGGCAGCGGAGGGGCAGCGGAGTGGGGTGGGGGGTACAGCGGGGGAGGGGAGGGGTGTAGGGAGGTGAGGGGAGAGGTGGAGAGGGATAGTGAGAGTTGGGGGGAGGATAGGGGTTGGTGTGTGCCCGTGTACCTATTTCTATATCCCTGTGTGTGTGTACCTGTGTGTGTACCTAAACCTGTGTGCGTACGTACGCGTGTCTGCGTGTACGTGAGAAGCGATGGCGTAGCGTTTAGCGCTACGCTGCGCTACGAACCCGGCGACCCGAGTTCGATTCCCGCTCACGGCCAACACCGGTGACGGTTATCCGAGCCGGTGCTGTGCCCCCCTCCGGCCCGAGTACCCGGTGCGGCGTGTGTCGTCCACACCGCCGCTGGGGAGACAAAGGCCCTTCCGGCCTGCGAGGTGCTGCTCGCCGACAGGACCTCGCCCCGACAGTCCGTCGAGGCCTCACGGGGAATCTTCTGTCTTGGTGTGACACACGCAGGTCGCCGCTCCCATTCCCGGAGGCGCCCGCCCCGCGGCACCCCCCCCGGGGCAGCAGCCGCCCCAGCCGTGCGTGGAGAGGGGGGGCAGCCCCCTCATGCTCACCGTGCCCCAGCTGCAGCTCATCAACCCCGACAACCAGATTGTCCAAGTGGGGGCCGTGCAGGCCACCAACGGGGTAAGCGCTCTCACTCGCTCGCCCTCTCGCTCGCCCTCTCACTCGCTCGCCCTCTCGCTCGCCCTCTCCCTCGCTCGCCCTCTCGCTCGCCCTCTCACTCGCTCGCCCTCTCACTCGCTCGCCCTCTCACTCGCTCGCCCTCTCACTCGCTCACCCTCTCGCTCGCCCTCTCGCTCGCCCTCTCGCTCGCCCTCTCGCTCGCCCTCTCGCTCACACTCTCGCTCACACTTTCACCCACCAACCCCAGCACCCACCCACCAACCTACGCACGCACACACTCGCCTTCTCACTCACTCACTCATTCACCCACCCTCTCACCCACCCACCAACCTACGCACGCACACACTCGCCTTCTCACTCACTCATTCACCCACCCTCTCACCCACCCACCAACCCACGCACGCACACACTTGCCTTCTTACTCACGCTCTCACCCACCCACCAACCGCATGCACGCACACACACGCACTCTCCCACCAACCTACGCACGCACGCACTCGCCTTCTCACTCACACTCTCTCTCACCCACCCACCAACCGCACGCAAGCACTCACTCACCCACCTACCCACAACATTAAATCACCAATCCAAGCACCCTACCAACCCACTTGCCTACCCTCTAACTCGCCCACCCGATACGTCGGCCAGTTGTGTGCGTGGTGCGCGTCGGTGTGACGCGTCTCTGTGACGTTGCCGGTGTTTGTGACGTCGCCGGTGTTTGTGACGTCGCCGGTGTTTGTGACGTCGCCGGTGTTTGTGACTTTGCCAGTGTTTGTGACTTTGCCGGTTTTGTGACTTTGCCGGTGTTTGTGACGTTGCCGCGTCTCTGTGACGTTGCCAGTGTTTGTGACTTTGCCAGTGTTTGTGACTTTGCCGGTGTTTGTGACTTTGCCGGTGTTTGTGACTTTTCCGTTGTTTGTGACGTTGCCGCGTGTTTGACGTTGCCGCATGTTTGTGACTTTGCCGGTGTTTGTGACGTTGCCGGTGTTTGTGACGTCGCCGGTGTTTGTGACGTCGCCGGTGTTTGTGACGTCGCCGGTGTTTGTGACTTTGCCAGTGTTTGTGACTTTGCCGGTGTTTGTGACTTTGGCGGTGTTTGTGACGTTGCCGCGTCTCTGTGACGTTGCCAGTGTTTGTGACTTTGCCAGTGTTTGTGACTTTGCCAGTGTTTGTGACTTTGCCGGTGTTTGTGACTTTGCCGGTGTTTGTGACTTTGCCGGTGTTTGTGACGTTGCCGCGTGTTTGACGTTGCCGCATGTTTGTGACTTTGCGGTGTTTGTGACTTTGCCGGTGTTTGTGACTTTGCCGGTGTTTGTGACGTTGCCGGTGTTTGTGACTTTGCCGCGTGTTTGTGACTTTGCCGGTGTTTATGACTTTGCCGGTGTTTGTGACTTTGCCGGTGTTTGTGATGTTGCCGGTGTTTGTGATGTTGCCGGTGTTTGTGACGTTGCCGGTGTTTGTGACTTTGCCGCGTGTTTGTGACGTTGCCGCGTGTTTGTGACTTTGCCGGTGTTTGTGACTTTGCCGGTGTTTGTGACTTTGCCGCGTGTTTGTGACTTTGCCGGTGTTTGTGACATTGCCGCGTCTCTGTGACTTTGCCGGTGTTTGTGATGTTGCCGCGTGTTTGTGACGTTGCCGGTGTTTGTGACGTTGCCGCGTGTTTGTGACGTTGCCGCGTGTTTGTGACTTTGCCGGTGTTTGTGACGTTGCCGGTGTTTGTGACGTTGCCGGTGTTTGTGACGTTGCCGGTGTTTGTGACGTTGCCGGTGTTTGTGACGTTGCCGGTGTTTGTGACGTTGCCGGTGTTTGTGACTTTGCCGGTGTTTGTGACTTTGCCGGTGTTTGTGACTTTGCCGGTGTTTGTGACGTTGCCGGTGTTTGTGACTTTGCCGGTGTTTGTGACGTTGCCGCGTGTTTGTGACTTTGCCGGTGTTTGTGACTTTGCCGGTGTTTGTGACGTTGCCGGTGTTTGTGACTTTGCCGCGTGTTTGTGATGTTGCCGCGTCTCTGTGACGTTGCCAGTGTTTGTGACTTTGCCAGTGTTTGTGACGTCGCCGGTGTTTGTGACGTTGCCGGTGTTTGTGACTTTGCCGTGTATGCCGACGCAGATGGAGGGCGGTGTGAGCTTCGACAGCGACGAGGGCGACGAGCCGTCACCAGAGGCGCTCGCCAGATACCTCTCCATGCGGAGACACACGGTGGGGGTGGCCGAGCCCAGGTACGTGGACACGGTGGGTGGGGGGGACACGGTGGGTGGGGGGGACACGGTGGGTGGGGGGGGACACGGTGGGTGGGGGGGACACGGTGGGTGGGGGGGACACGGTGGGTGGGGGGGACACGGTGGGTGGGGGGACACGGTGGGTGGGGGGACACGGTGGGTGGGGGGGACACGGTGGGTGGGGGGGACACGGTGGGTGTGGGGGACACGGGGGGGGGGGGACACGGTGGGGGGGGGGGACACGGTGGGTGGGGGGGGGACACGGTGGGTGGGGGGGACACGGTGGGTGGGGGGGACACGGTGGGTGGGGGGGACACGGTGGGTGGGGGGGACACGGTGGGTGGGGGGGACACGGTGGGTGGGGGGGACACGGTGGGTGGGGGGGACACGGTGGGTGGGGGGGACACGGTGGGTGGGGGGGACACGGTGGGTGGGGGGGACACGGTGGTGGGACGTGGTGGTACAAGAGGAGCCACTGACAGTCATCTCCCCCCCCCATGCAGGGCGGAGGGAGGGGGCGACGAGCTGCAGAAGCTGCACGGGGTCCCGGGGGGGTCGGGGGGGGCGGCGTCGTGGGGGGGGGCCTGGGCACCGGGGGGCGCACGCTGCAGCCCCCCCAGCCCTTCCTGGGCGTGGGGGGGGGGAGGGAGCCGTGCTGCCCACGCTGCCCTCGCTGGCGCCACACAACACCCCACTCGAGTACAAGGTGAGCACACGGGCAGGGAGGGGCACGGGCTGTGGTGAGGGGGGAGTGAGGGTGGTGAGGGGGGGGTGAGGGTGGTGAGGGGGGGTGGTGAGGGTGGTGAGGGGGAGTGAGGGTGGTGAGGGGGGTGGTGAGGGGGAGTGAGGTGGTGTGTGAGTGTGGTGAGGGGGGGAGTGAGGGTGGTGAGGGGGGTGGTGAGTGTGGTGAGGGTGGTGAGGGGGGGTGGTGAGTGTGGTGACGGGGGGTGGTGAGGGTGGTGAGGGGCAGGGTGAGTGTGGTGAGGATGGTGAGGGGGGGTGGTGAGTGTGGTGAGGGGGGGTGAGTGTGGTGAGGGGGGGGGGTGGTGAGTGTGGTGGGGGGGGTGGTGAGTGTGGTGAGGGGGGGTGAGTGTGGTGAGGGGGGGTGGTGGTGTGGTGAGGGGGGGTGGTGAGTGTGGTGAGTGTGGTGAGAGCGACAATCTCTGCTCACCACACTAACGCTCACCACCCCACTCCTCCGTGCCCCCCAGGAGCAGTCCCTGCTGCAGCCCCCGTGCTGCAGGCTCTGGACGGCGCCAGCCTGGGCCGGCGGGCGTCCGACGGCGGCGCCAACATCCACATGCAGGCGCAGCAGCTGCTGAAGCTGCGCCTGGTGGCCCAGAGCCAGGCCAACCCACGTGGGCCCTCTCCCTCCCCGCTGGTACGCGCCCAAAGCACGGAGGTGCCCCCCCTCCGACCCCCCCCCCGACCCCCCCCACTCCCCCCCACTCCCCCCCACTCCCCCCGGCGGTGACGTTGACGCACGCCGAGTGCTCGCTTCAGGCCCCGTAGGCCTGGCGGGGGAGAGGCCAGCACCGGATTGGGATTGAGCCTCGCCCGGCGTCGTCGGGCGCGAGCGGGAATCCTTCTCGGTGGAGCCGGGATCCCGGCGAGCCGGGCTCTGGGCGAGCCGGGCTCTGGGCGGGCTCTGGGCGGGCTCTGGGCGGGCTCTTGGCCAGCCGGGCTGACCGGGGGCGCGAGGTGTTTATGACGACGGCCGTGCCGCTCGTTACGTGCCTGGTGATGAATTCGGTGATGGGGAAATGAGTTTGCAATCTGATCGTCGCCATTGTCGTCAGGGCCCCGCGGTGTCGCCCGTCGCCCGCTCCGTCTCTCAGCCCCCCCCCGCTCCGTCTCTCAGCCCCCCCCGCTCGTGTCTCAGCCCCCCCCCGCTCCGTCTCTCAGCCCCCCCGCTCCGTCTCTCAGCCCCCCCCCCGCTCCGTCTCTCAGCCCCCCCGCTCCGTCTCTCAGCCCCCCCCCGCTCCGTCTCTCAGCCCCCCCCCTCTCTCTCTGTCATCAACGAGGGCCGTTGCTCAAATCCGTTTTAGGCCACGGCGGTGTTGACGATCCTCTTGAGTTTGGCGTCGATGTTGACCTCTCGGCCTGTGAACTTTTATCCAACATGCGGTGACCCCCCCGTGACCCCCCCCCCCGACCCGTGACCCCCAGTGCGGCGTGTCGGTGATCACGCCGGAGGAGGATGAGGAGACGTCTGACGAGGAGCCTGACCAGGAGGCCGCACAGAGGTGGGGGCGCATGGGGGGGCAGCGGGGGGGGGGGGGCACGTGGGGGGGGGCACGCTGGGGGCACGTGAGGGGGCGGGAGACAGTGAGACGAAGGGAGGCAAGGGGAGATGGTGTGTGTGTGTGTAGTGCTGTGTGTGTGTGTAGCGCTGTGTGTGTGTGGGTAGTGCTGTGTGTGTGTGGATGGGTAGTGCTGTGTGTGTGTGTGTGGGTAGTGCTGTGGTGTGTGTGTGGGTAGTGCTGTGTGTGTGTGGGTAGCGCTGTGTGTGTGTGTGGGTAGCGCTGTGTGTGTGTGTGGGTAGCGCTGTGTGTGTGTGTGGGTAGCGCTGTGTGTGTGTGTGGGTAGTGCTGTGTGTGTGTGTGTAGCGCTGTGTGTGTGTGGGTAGTGCTGTGTGTGTGTGTAGCGCTGTGTGTGTGTGTGGGTAGCGCTGTGTGTGTGTGGGGTAGCGCTGTGTGTGTGTAGTGCTGTGTGTGTGTGTTGTGGGTAGTGATGTGTGTGTGGGTAGCGCTGTGTGTGTGTGGGTAGCGCTGTGTGTGTGTAGTGCTGTGTGTGTGTGTTGTGGGTAGTGCTGTGTGTGTGTAGTGCTGTGTGTGTGTGTGTGGGTAGTGCTGTGTGTGTGTGTGTGGGTAGTGCTGTGTGTGTGTGGGTAGCGCTGTGTGTGTGTGTGGGTAGCGCTGTGTGTGTGTGTGGGTAGTGCTGTGTGCATGTGTGTAGCGCTGTGTGTGTGTGGGTAGCGCTGTGTGTGTGTGGGTAGCGCTGTGTGTGTGTGTGTGGGTAGTGCTGTGTGTGTGTGTGGGCAGTGCTGTGTGTGTGTGGGTAGTGCTGTGTGTGTGTGGGTAGTGCTGTGTGTGTGTGTGTGGGTAGTGCTGTGTGGTGTGGGTAGTGCTGTGTGTGTGTGGGTAGTGCTGTGTGTGTGTGGGTAGCGCTGTGTGTGTGTGGGTAGTGCTGTGTGTGTGGGTAGTGCTGTGTGTGTGTAGCGCTGTGTGTGTGTGGGTAGCGCTGTGTGTGTGTGTGGGTAGTGCTGTGTGTGTGTGGGTAGTGCTGTGTGTGTGGGTAGCGCTGTGTGTGTGTGTGTGTGGGTAGCGCTGTGTGTGTGTGTGTGGGTAGCGCTGTGTGTGTGTGTGTGGGTAGCGCTGTGTGTGTGTGTGGGGTAGCGCTGTGTGTGTGTGTGTGGGTCGCGCTGTGTGTGTGTGGGTAGCGCTGTGTGTGTGTGTGGGTAGCGCTGTGTGTGTGTGGTAGTGCTGTGTGTGTGTGGGTAGTGCTGTGTGTGTGTGGGTAGTGCTGTGTGTGTGTGTGTGGGTAGTGCTGTGTGTGCGTGGGTAGCGCTGTGTGTGCGTGGGTAGCGCTGTGTGTGCGTGGGTAGCGCTGTGTGTGTGTGTAGCGCTGTGTGTGTGGGTAGCGCTGTGTGGTGTGTGGGTAGCGCTGTGTGTGTGCGTGGGTAGCGCTGTGTGTGTGCGTGGGTAGCGCTGTGTGTGCGTGGGTAGCGCTGTGTGTGCGTGGGTAGCGCTGTGTGTGCGTGGGTAGCGCTGTGTGTGTGTGTGTAGCGCGTGTGTGTGTGTGTGTGTGTGCGTGGGTAGCGCTGTGTGTGTGCGTGGGTAGCGCTGTGTGTGTGCGTGGGTAGCGCTGTGTGTGTGTGGGTAGCGCTGTGTGTGTGTGGGTAGCGCTGTGTGTGTGCGTGGGTAGCGCTGTGTGTGTGCGTGGGTAGCGCTGTGTGTGTGCGTGGGTAGCGCTGTGTGTGTGTGTGGGTAGCGCTGTGTGTGTGCGTGGGTAGCGCTGTGTGTGTGCGTGGGTAGCGCTGTGTGTGTGCGTGGGTAGCGCTGTGTGTGTGTGGGTAGCGCTGTGTGTGTGTGTGGGTAGCGCTGTGTGTGTGTGTGGGTAGCGCTGTGTGTGTGTGTGGGTAGCGCTGTGTGTGTGTGGGTAGCGCTGTGTGTGTGTGGGTAGCGCTGTGTGTGTGTGGGTAGCGCTGTGTGTGTGTGGTAGCGCTGTGTGTGTGTGGGTAGCGCTGTGTGTGTGTGTGGGTAGCGCTGTGTGTGTGTGTGTGGGTAGCGCTGTGTGTGTGTGTGGGTAGCGCTGTGTGTGTGTGTGTGTGTCGCGCTGTGTGTGTGTGTGTGTAGCGCTGTGTGTGTGTGTGTAGCGCTGTGTGTGTGTGTGTGGGTAGCGCTGTGTGTGTGTGTGTGGGTAGCGCTGTGTGTGTGTGTGTGCGTAGCGCTGTGTGTGTGTGCGTAGCGCTGTGTGTGTGTGCGTAGCGCTGTGTGTGTGTGCGTAGCGCTGTGTGTGTGTGTGTGTGGGTAGCGCTGTGTGTGTGTGTGGGTAGCGCTGTGTGTGTGTGTGGGTAGCGCTGTGTGTGTGTGTGGGTAGCGCTGTGTGTGTGTGTGGGTAGCGCTGTGTGTGTGCGTACACCTATCGAGTGCGTGCGAGTGCCCCAAAAGTCTATTGGGTGTATACGAGGTGAGGCTATCTCTTTGTGTTGGCACGAGCGCGTGCTTCAAAGTGCACCTTGCCCAGCACGATACCCGTCCGTGGTGCCGCCGCCGCCGCCGTGGTGAGCGGCGGCGGCGGTTGCCGGTAGCCGGCGTGGCGCGAGTGAATGCGGAGCCGCGGTCGCGTGGCGGCTTGGCGCACCGTGCCGTGGACTCGTCGCCTGCTGCGTGGGCAACTTGCCCCCCACCCCCCCCCCCCCCCCCCCCCCGTTCCTTGGCAGGGCGCCGCGCTCGCCCGGCCAGAGGGGGCCGTGCGGTGGCAGCGCCCCAGCTGAGTCGCTTCAAACGCACGCCGCTGTTTTGAGGACAGCCGATTGCAATAACAGCGGCAAATATTGGGCAAGCCTCCCACCCACGACCCAGACTCCGACCCAGACCCCCACCCAGACCCCACCCAGACCCCCCCATCACCCACGACCCAGACCCCCACCCCATCACCCACGACCCAGACCCCCACCCAGACCCCTCCCCCCCATCACCACGACCCAGACCCCCACGCAGACCCCCACCCAGACCCCTCCCCCCCTATCACCCACGACCCAGACCCCCCCCCCCCCACTCACCCCCACTGGGTTGTGAGCGTCAGGGGCGACGTGTTGGAAGCCAGTGCATCGTGGGTAGCGCACCCACGATGCACTGCAGGTCAAACGTAATGGGAGTGTCCGTGCCTGCCTTCATAGCTGCTCCTCGCTAACAGCACTTGCCCCAACAGTCTGTTAAGTCTAGACGGGCGTGCTTTGTCTTTGTGCGTGTTTCTAAACGCAGTTGGTGAGCACAGGGGCCCGGCGGGCCCAAAAGCTAGCGGGCAGCAACAAACAGTACTGCGGCCAAGGTTGTCATGCAGAGAGTGTAGTGCATGTTAGTTGAGAGCAAGGGACTATTGTAAGACTTTGGGGGAGAAGAAGCTGGTGGTGGTGGTGGTTATAATGGTGGTGGTGGTGATGGTAGTAATGGTGGTGGGAGAGGGAGTTTCAGCGTGGAGCAGTGTGAGGGAAGAAGCGGAGACAGAGAGAAGTGAGGTGACCTGCAGTGTTGTTGGGTGCGTGGCTGTGTCGTTGTGCGAGTGTGGTTGTGTGTGTGGTTGAGTGGCTGAGCGAGTGTGGGTGAGTGGCGTGGCTGTGTGGTTGGGCGAGTGTGGTAATGTGTGTGGGTGAGTGGCTGTGTGGTTGTGTGAGTGTGGTTATGTGTGTGGGTGAGTGGCTGTGTGGTTGTGTGAGTGTGGTTATGTGTGTGGTTGAGTGGCTGTGTGGTTAGGCGAGTGGCTGTGTGGTTGGGTGAGTGTGGTTGAGTGGCTGAGCGAGTGGTTGTGTGAGTGGCTGTGTGGTTGGGTGAGTGTTGTTTGGTACATGGTTGTGAGTGTGTGAGTGTGGTTGTGTGAGTGTGGTTGAGTGGCTGGGCGAGTGGCTGTGTGGTTGTGTGAGTGGCCGTGTGGTTGTGTGAGTGTGGTAATGTGTGTGGGTGAGTGGCTGTGTGGCTGTGTGGTTGTGTGAGTGTGATAATGTGTGGGTGAGTGGCTGTGTGTTTGTGTGATAATGTGTGTGGGTGAGTGGCTGTGTGGTTGTGTGAGTGTGGTAATATGTGTGGTTGTGAGTGCCTGTGTGGTTGTGTGAGTGTGGTTGTGTGGCTGAGCGAGTGGTTGGGTGAGTGGCTGTGTGGTTGTGTGAGTGTGGTAATGTGTCTGGGTGAGTGCCTGTGTGGTTGTGTGAGTGTGGTAATGTGTGTGGGTGAGTGGCTGTGTGGTTGTTGAGTGTGGTAATGTGGTAATGTGTGTGGGTGAGTGGCTGTGTGGTTGTGTGGTTGTGTGAGTGTGGTAATGTGTGTGGGTGAGTGGCTGTGTGGTTGTGTGAGTGTGGTAATGTGTGTGGGTGAGTGGCTGTGTGGCTGTGTGGTTGTGTGTGGGTGAGTGGCTGTGTGTTTGTGTGAGTGTGGTAATGTGTGTGGGTGAGTGGCTGTGTGGTTGTGTGAGTGTGGTAATGTGTGTGGTTGTGAGTGCCTGTGTGGTTGTGTGAGTGTGGTTGTGTGGCTGAGCGAGTGGTTGGGTGAGTGGCTGTGTGGTTGTGTGAGTGTGGTAATGTGTCTGGGTGAGTGCCTGTGTGGTTGTGTGAGTGTGGTAATGTGTGTGGGTGAGTGGCTGTGTGGTTGTGTGAGTGTGGTAATGTGGTAATGTGTGTGGGTGAGTGGCTGTGTGGTTGTGTGGTTGTGTGAGTGTGGTAATGTGTGTGGGTGAGTGGCTGTGTGGTTGTGTGAGTGTGGTAATGTGTGTGGGTGAGTGGCTGTGTGGCTGTGTGGTTGTGTGTGGGTGAGTGGCTGTGTGTTTGTGTGAGTGTGGTAATGTGTGTGGGTGAGTGGCTGTGTGGTTGTGTGAGTGTGGTAATGTGGTGGTTGTGAGTGGCTGTGTGGTTGTGTGAGTGTGGTTGTGTGGCTGAGCGAGTGGTTGGGTGAGTGGCTGTGTGGTTGTGTGAGTGTGGTAATGTGTCTGGGTGAGTGCCTGTGTGGTTGTGTGAGTGTGGAAATGTGTGTGGGTGAGTGGCTGTGTGGTTGTGTGAGTGTGGTAATGTGGTAATGTGTGTGGGTGAGTGGCTGTGGTTGTGTGGTTGTGTGAGTCTGGTAATGTGTGTGGTTGAGTGGCTGTGTGGTTAGGCGAGTGGCTGTGTGGTTGTGTGAGTGTGGTTGAGTGGCTGAGCGAGTGGTTGGGCGAGTGGCTGTGTGGTTGTGTGAGTGTGGTAATGTGTGTGGGTGAGTGGCTGTGTGGTTGTGTGAGTGTGGTAATGTGTGTGGGTGAGTGGCTGTGTGGTTGTGTGAGTGTGGTAATGTGTGTGGTTGAGTGGCTGTGTGGTTGTGTGAGTGGCTGTGTGGTTGTGTGAGTGTGGTAATGTGTGTGGTTGAGTGGCTGAGCGAGTGGTTGGGCGAGTGGCTGTGTGGTTGTGTGAGTGTGGTAATGTGTGTGGTTGAGTGGCTGAGCGAGTGGCTGTGTGGTTGGGTAAGCAAGCAAGAATGAGTGTCGTGCCCTGCAGTGTGTAGTGGTGGTAGTCGCCGCGGCTCGGTGGGCGTGCCCAAGTTTGCCCGGCTTTGGGCGCGCGCCCCCTGCCGCGCGTGACGCTCTCCCGCCGGCTCTCCGCCCAGGTACCTGGCGGCACGCGGCAGCAACAAGCGGCACACGCTGGCGCTCGCCAACCCCGCTGCCGAGGTCTCCGCCGACCTGCAGCGGCAGCTGGCGCAGCAGCCCATCAAGGGCGGGCGGCGCAGCTCCCAGCTGCTGTCCCCCGAGCAGCAGCTGCAGCAGCAGCAGCACTCGCGGTGAGCGGAGGAGGAGGAGGAGGGGGGAGCCACGTTCTTGAAAGTTTCATCGCCTAGGGAAGCCTCTCGGAGTCCACTCTCTTGCAGGAAGTTCCCAAGCTTGGGAATTGTTGTTGTACTTAAGGGGCACGCTGCGGTGGCTAGGAGATGTTAACTACCTCACCTGGTATGCAGGAGGTCGATGCCTGCTGTGTATTTGGAGTTTGCGGTGTTTCTCTCTTCCCGTGGTCGTGTGGGATTTTTTTCCGGGTCCTCCGCGTTTAGCATCGACATCGCCACACGTTTAGAGTGTTGGGCTGCTGCTGTCTGTTTCCGCGTGGTGATGATGATGGTGATGATGATGATGGTGATGATGATGATGGTGATGATGATGGTGATGATGATGGTGATGATGATGGTGATGATGATGGTGATGATGATGGTGATGATGATGGTGATGATGATGATGGTGATGATGAGCCACTTCATTGAGCTATCGTTTGTGGATAGCCAGGCCGCTATACGGCTCAGTGGGCCTTACCTTGGTGCAGAATTTTCTATAAAAAATAGTGTTTATTTGTACATTTATTTTCGTGATTTGCTTACCTTCCCTCTACTTTGCACAGCTATTGTATTTTTGTATTGTGGTTGATGTTATTGACGATAACGATGGTGATGGTGATGATGTTGATGGTGGTGATGTCGTCACCCCAGGTACAATGATACCAACACGCTGTGCATCCTGTCCGAGTACTACTCTGACGTCATGTTATTGATGATGGTGATGATGATGGTGGTGATGATGATGTTGATGATGTTGATGGTGGTGATGTCGTCACCCCAGGTACAATGAGACCAACACGCTGTGCATCCTGTCCGAGCGCTACTCTGACGTCATGTTATTGATGTTGATGATGATGGTGATGATGTTATTGATGATGATGTTATTGATGTTGATGATGATGGTGGTGATGTCGTCACCCCAGTTACAAGGAGACCAACACGCTGTGCATTCCGTCCGAGCGCTACTCTGACGTCATGTTATTGGTGACGGTGATGATGGTGATGATGGTGTTGATGTTATTGATGTTGTTGATGTTATTGATGATGTTGATGATGATGTCACCCCAGCTACAAGGAGACCAACACGCTGTGCATCCCGTCCGAGCGCTACTCTGACGTCATGTTATTGATGTTGATGATGTCATCACCCCAGCTACAAGGAGACCAACACGCTGTGCATCCCGTCCGAGCGCTACTCTGACGTCATGTTATTGATGTTGATGATGATGATGCCACCCCAGCTACAAGGAGACCAACACGCTGTGCATCCCGTCCGAGCGCTACTCTGACGTCATGTTATTGATGTTGATGATGATGATGTCATCACCCCAGCTACAAGGAGACCAACACGCTGTGCATCCCGTCCGAGCGCTACTCTGACGTCATGTTATTGATGATGATGATGATGTCACCCCAGCTACAAGGAGACCAACACGCTGTGCATCCCGTCCGAGCGCTACTCTGACGTCATGTTATTGATGATGATGGTGATGATGATGGTGATGTTGATGTCGTCACCCCAGCTACAAGGAGACCAACACACTGTGCATCCCGTCCGAGCGCTACTCTGACGTCATGTTATTGATGTTGTTGATGATGATGATGTCATCACCCCAGCTACAAGGAGACCAACACCCTGTGCATCCCGTCCGAGCGCTACTCTGACGTCATGTTATTGATGTTGTTGATGATGATGTCGTCACCCCAGCTACAAGGAGACCAACACGCTGTGCATCCCGTCCGAGCGCTACTCTGACGTCATGTTATTGATGATGATGTCATTACCCCAGCTACAAGGAGACCAACACGCTGTGCATCCCGTCCGAGCGCTACTCTGACGTCATGTTATTGATGTTGTTGATGATGATGTCATCACCCCAGCTACAAGGAGACCAACACCCTGTGCATCCCGTCCGAGCGCTACTCTGACGTCATGTTATTGATGATGATGATGATGTCACCCCAGCTACAAGGAGACCAACACGCTGTGCATCCCGTCCGAGCGCTACTCTGACGTCATGTTATTGATGTTGTTGATGATGATGATGTCATCACCCCAGCTACAAGGAGACCAACACGCTGTGCATCCCGTCCGAGCGCTACTCCCCCGTGCGCCGCCTCTCCGACGGCGCCGCCAGCCTGCAGGCCTTCCGCACCCAGATGCAGCACTCGTGCGGTTCCACGCTCAACAGCAGCATCAAGCAGCTGCAGCAGGTGGGGGGCCGGTTGGGTCATTGCGCAGCCGGGTGGACGAGTGGCCCTGGTATTTGGCGAGCGTGGGCGTGGGCGAGGGCGGGGGCGAGGGCGAGGGCGTGGGCGAGGGCGTGGGCGAGGGCGAGGCGGGGGGCGGGCCCCGCGGCGGCGGCTCGCCGACGACTCTCGCCCCAGCGGCCTTTAAAAAGTCTACGCGGGCGACCTTTGCCCCCTTTATCTCCGTAGGAGTGCCACCAGCTGCAGCAGAGGTACTGCACCACGCCCATGGACGAGCGGAGCCTCGTGGAGGCTCAGCACCAGCACAAGCTGTTCCACCACCTGCAGGTGACGCGGTGGGGACACGCTGGGGCGCTGGCGCCGCGTGGCCCCCTCGACATTTAGCGCCGTGACGTCGCCGATGAGGGCGTTGTCAACTTGCCGTCGCCCCGGTGTCCAGCGGCCGGGCGAACGTTTTCTTGTTTAGCTGTTTGGTTTTATTCGCAATGGAGGCCTTGTTTGGTGTTGTGGCGTCGTTAAAGCCGCCACCACCGCTACCCAACGATCAGTAAGGTTTGTCACGTGAACAGAATGTGCACATTAATTACTAGTTACTAGTAGTACACCGGTCTGTTGGAGAGTAAGCCCACGACAACATTTATTATTAGTTTTTTTTTTCTCTCCGCCACCACCACCCCCCCCCCCCCCGTTGTAAATGTGTTGTTGGTGCCCGTGTTGTTTTTGACCGCGCCATCATCGTCCAGCGCTTTCCTGAAGGACCCCCCCCCCACTCGCACGCCGGAGTGAAGTCATCAGTCGCCTTTCAGAGGCCCGTATCTGCTCTAGATGGGGGGTTGTTTTTGTGTTGTTTTTCTGGGCGGGATAGATCGTGGAAAAACGTGTCCGGCGGCGGTGGCGGGTTTCACGACACCTTTTATATTTTAGGCGCTCTCTGACGGAGCGAAAGCCTCTTGTAGATGCCGCTACGAGCTCGGACGACTAAAACGCAACGGTGCTGTGTGACCTCGTGGCACTGTCTCTCTCCCCATGTCTCTCTCTCTCTCTCCCCACGTTCCAGTGTCTCTGAATCTACACGCCTCCCCTGACCCCATCTCCATAACCCCGCGTCGCCGTGTCTCATGCCCACGTCCCCGTGTCTCATTGTCTCACGGTCCCCGTGTCTCATTGTCTCACGGTCCCCGTGTCTCATTGTCTCACGGTCCCCGTGTCTCATTGTCTCACGGTCCCCGTGTCTCATTGTCTCACGGTCCCCGTGTCTCATTTGTCTCACGGTCCCCGTGTCTCACGGTCCCCGTGTCTCATTGTCTCACGGTCCCCGTGTCCCCATGTCCCCGTGTCTCACGGTCCCCGTGTCCCCTGGTCCCCGTGTCTCACGGTCCCCGTGTCCCCGTGTCCCCGTGTCTCACGGTCCCCGTGTCTCATGGTCCCCGTTACCCCGTGTCTCCGTGTCTCATGGTCCCCGTGTCCCCGTGTCTCATGGTCCCCGTGTCTCACGGTCTCCGTGTCTCACGGTCCCCGTGTCTCATGGTCCCCGTTACCCCGTGTCTCCGTGTCTCATGGTCCCCGTGTCTCACGGTCCCCGTGTCCCCGTGTCTCATGGTCCCCGTGTCTCACGGTCTCCGTGTCTCACGGTCCCCGTGTCTCATGGTCCCCGTTACCCCGTGTCTCCGTGTCTCATGGTCCCCGTGTCTCATGGTCCCCGTGTCCCCGTGTCTCATGGTCCCCGTGTCTCACGGTCCCCGTGTCTCATGGTCCCCGTGTCTCATGGTCCCCGTGTCTCCGTGTCTCATGGTCCCCGTGTCTCACGGTCCCCGTGTCTCACGGTCCCCGTGTCTCACGGTCCCCGTGTCTCACGGTCCCCGTGTCTCACGGTCCCCGTGTCTCCGTGTCTCATGGTCCCCGTGTCTCATGGTCCCCGTGTCTCACGGTCCCCGTGTCCCCGTGTCTCACGGTCCCCGTGTCTCACGGTCCCCGTGTCTCACGGTCCCCGTGTCTCATGGTCCCCGTGTCCCCGTGTCTCCGTGTCTCACGGTCCCCGTGTCTCATGGTCCCCGTGTCTCCATGTCTCATGGTCCTCGTGTCTCATGGTCCCCGTGTCTCACGGTCCCCGTGTCTCCGTGTCTCACGGTCCCCGTGTCTCATGGTCCCCGTGTCCCCGTGTCTCCGTGTCTCACGGTCCCCGTGTCTCATGGTCCCCGTGTCTCCGTGTCTCATGGTCCCCGTGTCCCCGTGTCTCATGGTCCCCGTGTCTCCGTGTCTCATGGTCCCCGTGTCTCACGGTCCCCGTGTCTCATGGTCCCCGTGTCTCATGGTCCCCGTGTCTCATGGTCCCCGTGTCCCCTGGCAGGAGTATTGTGGATCCCCCCAGGCGAGTCCCCCGCCGGCCCCTCCCCCCCCGATCACCGTGTCTCCCGCCGGGGGAGGGGCTCTGGGCCCAGAGGTTCCCGCGGTCCTCTCTCACCAGCTGCAGAGGTACTCGGCTCGGGGGAGACGCACGGGGACAGAGGGGGGGAGACACACGGGGAGACGGGGGGAGACAGATGGGGGGAGACACACGGAGAGACGGGGGGAGACACACGGAGAGACGGGGGGAGACAGATGGGGGAGACACACGGGGAGAGGGGGAGACGGACGGGGGAGACACACGGGGAGACGGGGGGAGACAGATGGGGGGAGACACACGGGGAGAGAGGGAGACGGACGGGGGGAGACACACGGAGAGACGGGGGGAGACAGAGGGGGGGAGACACACGGGGAGAGGGGGGGAGACACGGAGAGACGGGGGGAGACAGATGGGGGGAGACACACGGGGAGACGGGGGGAGACACACGGGGGAGACGTACGGGGACAGAGGGGGGGAGACACACGGAGAGACGGGGGGAGACAGATGGGGGGAGACACACGGAGAGACGGGGGGAGACACGTGGGGGAGAGGGAGACACATGGGGAGAGGGGGGTGACGAGGGGGGAGACACGGGGAGAGGGGGGGGGGTAGACACGGGAGTGGAGACGGGAGACACTGGGGAGACAAAGGCGGCCGGGCGTGGTGCTGGCCACCCACCCCCTCGTGTGCCGTGCCGGCCTTCATAGGTGCCACTTGCTAACAGCACTTGCCCCAACAGTTTGTTGCAGGCTATATGGGGAATGTGTGTGTGTGTGCGTGCGTGTGTGCAGTGTGTACACGTGTGCACGCATGCGTGTGTGTGCGCACCTGTGTGTGTGTGTGTGTGCGCACCTCTGTGTGTGTGTGTGTGCACCTTTACACGTGTGTGTGTGTGTGTGCGTGTGTGTGTGTGTGTGTGCACCTTTACACTGTGTGTGTGTGTGTGCGGTGTGATCAGATTGAAGCTGCACACGGCTCAGCCCTCCAGCCCCCCACCCTTCACGTCGGGCAGCGCGGGGGGTAGCCCCCCGTCGGCGCACGTCCCGCTCATGCAGCCGCAGAGTAAGTGTGGGCGGGGGGGGGGCGGTGGCTCGCCGGCACGGCCCCCGGGGTTGTTTTTCCACCGCGGGAGCCGTGCCGTGCCGCCGCCGATGGCGGCGCCCGGTTTGGTTCCGGCTCGGCTCGCCAAAGAGCCGGCGGGGAACCGCCCGGACCGTGCCGGGACCCACGGCCGGGCTCGCCCACACGAGGGCCGCGGGAGGGCCGCGGGAGGGCCGCGGGAGGGCCGCGGGAGGGCCGCGTCGTCACGCTCCGTCATCTCGCTCCGTCGTCACACTCCGTCGTCACGCTCCGTCATCTCGCTCCGTCGTCACACTCCGTCATCTCGCTCCATCGTCACGCTCCGTCATCTCGCTCCGTCGTCACACTCCGTCGTCACGCTCCGTCATCTCGCTCCGTCGTCACGCTCCGTCGTCACGCTCCATCGTCACACTCCGTCGTCTCGCTCCGTCGTCACGCTCCGTCGTCACGCTCCGTCGTCACGCTCCGTCATCACGCTCCGTCATCACGCTCCGTCGTCACGCTCCGGTGTCACGCTCCGTCGTCACGCTCCGTCATCACGCTCCGTCGTCACGCTCCGTCGTCACGCTCCGGTGTCACGCTCCGTCATCACGCTCCGTCGTCACGCTCCGGTGTCACGCTCCGGTGTCACACTCCGGCGTCACACTCCGGCGTCTCGCTCCGGTGACTTCACTTCCGAGTGCCTCTGATTGGCCATGCGGCCGTTCGCCCTGAAGGTTACAGGACCGGTCGCCATTCTCGGTCGCCGCAGGCATTTGCGGGGCTCCCTTGAACCACTTGTCGCCCCCCCCACCCCCCACACCTTGTTCGTTTTTCCCAGCATACCCTGGGCCACCGCAGCAGGTGACATCCGTCCCGGCCGCAACTGTGGCGTCGCTACAGCTGCCACAGCAACAGCAACAACAACAACAGCAGCAGCAGCAGCAACAGCAGCAGCAGCACAAGCCGCTGTTGAAGCAGCTGAGTGCGGACAGTGCAGAGGCACGCAGGTGAGACGGCCGTACGCTCGGCTTCATCGTGGCCCTGTCCGATGCAGCGAGCCCAGCGCTGCTGAGATGCCCGGGGCCTCGGTGGTGGTGACCGTGGTGATTGGTGGCGGCAGTGGCGGCGGTGGCGGCAGTGGCGGCTACACCGTCGCTGCTGCACGTGGCAGCTGTGACCCAGCGCTGTAGATTCTCGCCCTGGGTTTGGGTGTCTCCCTCATCTCAGTAGCTTCACAATGGTCCTGTCGGACACATGCACACACACGCTGGGTCTGAGCTGTGTCTATTCGGTAACGTCTCAATAACACACGCGGGTGTCTGTGTGTGTGTGTGTCTTTCTGTCTGTGTGTGTCTTTCTGTCTGTGTCTTTCTGTCTGTGTCTCTTTCTGTCTGTGTCTCCCTCAGTCGCCCAATCCAAAGGTTTTCTCCCTTGAGTTACGATCAGACTCACCTCCACCCTCACCTCTACAGCTTCCCTCCCAGCCCTCCGACCACCTCGCGAGCCGCTCAACAACAACAGCAGCAACAGCAGCAACAGCAACAACAGCAGCAGGCTGTCCCCCCTGTCCCGCAGCCGTCCGCCTTCGCTCAGTCGTTCGCTCTCCAGAAAGAGGTTCTCCTTCAGAACCATCAACTGATGCTGCAGCAGCAGCAGCAACAGCAGCAGCAGCAACAGCTGCTTCAACAACAACAGCAGCAGCAGCACCTGCTGCAGCAGCAACAGCAGCAGCAGCATCTGTTGCAGCAGCAGCAACAGGCGCAGCACCTGTTGCAGCAGCAGCAGCAGCAGCTGCTTCAGCAGCAGCAGCACCAGCAGCACCTGTTGCAGCAGCAGCAGCAGCAGCACCTGCAGAGCCTGCACGAGCAGCAGCAGCAGCAGCAGCAGCAGCCGTACGCGCTGAGCGCCCCCTCGCAGCTGCAGCAGGCGCTGCTGTCTCCGATCGCCACCGAGTTTGGCCGCTCGCCCCTACCACCACCACCACCACCAGCAGCAGCAGCAGCAGCACCACCACCAGCACCAGCAGCAGCAGCAGTACAACAGCATGCTGGTGCAGAGCCTGGTGTCGCCGCGACACACGTTCGGGGCGCACGCGCAGCCGATCCGCCTGCAGCCGCCCCCCGCGGGGGGCTCGGGCGGAGGGCGGCGGCCGGCGGGCGCGGGGGGGCGGCTGCCGGGTCGCGGGGGCTCGGGCCCGCTGCCGGGGGCGTGCGCCGGGGCGGACGCCGCGGTCGGGCCGAGCCAGCAGCAGCAGCAGCAGCAACAGCAGCTGCAGCAGCAGCAGCAGCAGCAGCAGCTGCAGCAGCAGCAGCAGCAGCAGCAGCTGCAGCAGCAGCAGCAGCAGCAGGCCGCGTCGCCGGCCCTGACGTCGGGTCAGAGGTCGCGGGCGTCGGCCGTCGGGGCGGTGCAGCAGCAGCAGCCGCCGCCACCCCCCGTGAACTTTCACCTCCTGCAGGCGATGGGGCGGGGGCGGGGGGCGGAGCGGAGGGGGAGGGGGTCGGGGTTGGCGGGGGCGTGGGGGGGTGCCCCCCACCCCCGGGCATTGTCGGGCTCCTCCACTCGGAGAGGATGGAGGAGGACGAGGGAGCGGCGCTGGTGGAGGCGGCGTGCGAGGTGAGCTGGTGGTGGTGGTGGTGGTGAAGGTGAAGGTGGACGTTTGCGAGTGAGACAGTGGTGGTGCTGGTGGTTGTGGTTGTGGTGGTGGTGTAAAGGTGGATGTTTACGAGTGAGACAGTGGTGGTGGTGAATGAAGGTGGATGTTTGCGAGTGAGACAGTGGTTGTGGTTGTGGTGGTTGTGGTGCTGGTGGTTGTGGTGGTGGAGATGGATGTTTGCGAGTGAGACGGTGGTGGTGGTTGTGGTGGTGGTGGTCGTGAAGGTGGATGTTTGCGAGTGAGACAGTGGTTGTGGTTGTGGTGGTTGTGGTGCTGGTGGTTGTGGTGGTGGAGATGGATGTTTGCGAGTGAGATGGTGGTGGTGGTTGTGGTGGTGGTGGAGGTGGATGTTTACGAGTGAGACAGGGGTGGTGATGGTGGTGGTGGTGAAGGTGAATGTGTACGAGTGAGACAGTGGTGGTTGTGGTGGTGGTGGTGAAGGTGGATGTTTGCGAGGTGAGACGGTGGTGGTGGTGAAGGTGGACGTTTGCGAGCGAGACAGTGGTGGTTGTGGTGCTGGTGGTTGTGGTGGTGGTGGTGAAAGTTAAACTGAAATATGTAACTAATAAGCTTGTGCCGGAGGCCCCGGGGGGCCAGGCGTCTATGACGTCTCCTGGCCAAACCCCAATTGGCGGAGCCAGGAGATTGAATATCTACCCTCGGGGCTCCTCCAGAAACAACGAAAAGCCACTACGGGTGGCCACGTGGAATGTTCGAACGCTCACTGCGGAGGAGAGGCTGCCACTCCTCTGTCGGGAGCTGGACCGGTACCGCCTGGATCTCTGGCATTCAGGAGGTCCGGTGGACCGGCTCTGGCTCCTGCCACCATGAGGGGTGGACAGTCCTCTACTCGGGGCAGCAGACTGCCAAACAACAGGGTGTGGCTCTTCTTTTGAACAAAAGAATGAAGGGGGTGTGGGAGCGTGGCGGTGAGGTGTGGGAAGCTGTAAGCCCCAGGCTACTTTGGGCTCACCTTCCCATCAACCGGAGGCGAGGAATGGTGGTCGTGGTTACTTATGCCCCCACCGAAGATGAACATCCGTGGAGGGATGCAGGCAAAGCCGATGAGTCAGATGCATTCTATGACCTCCTGTCACAGATGCTGGCTAAAGTGGCCCCTCAGGATAGAGTCATCATGTTGGGTGACTTCAATGCCCGAGTTGGTCATGATACTGGCACCTGGTCTGGAGTGATTGGAGGGCATGGGCCAGATAAGCTCAATAACAACGGTAGGAGGCTGCTAGATTTTTGTGCAGCCCATGGGCTTGTAATTACCAACACGCTGTTCCGGCATCGGCGCGTCCACACAACATCATGGATGCATGCCGGGTCCAAGCAAGAACATCTGCTGGACTACATAGTGACGGACCAGCGGATGCGAGCCCATGTCCTTGACACCAGGACCTACCGTGGAGCTGATCTGCCCTCTGACCATCGACTAGTCATTTGTAAGATGCGCCTGCCATTCTTCCACTCCGGTGGTGGGTGTACACCCAGGACCCCATTCCAGCCTAAAGTGGCCTGGTCTCAGTTATCTGATGAAAGTTGCAACGAGAATTTCATCATCGCTTGCGGCTGGGATTGGCATCGTCCCCGACTCCTCCTGATGTCGATGGTAAATGAGCGAGGTTTAGGACTGTGACTCATGCAGCTGCAATGGCTGCTTTGGGTACGCGGTCCAGACCTCCCCAGAGACCCTGGCTGACAGAGGAGGTGTTTAGGATGGTTGAGAAAAAGCGACAGGCCCACTGTCATCGGCTACAGAATCCCACGTCAGAGAATAAGGAGGCTTACCGCAGCCTTCGCTCGGAGGTTCGGAGAGCCGTGAGGCGCTGCAAGGGTGGGTGGTGGTTGCGGGTTGCTGAGGAGATGGAGTCTGCCTCAGTGGCCCGTGATCACAAATCTCTATTTAACTCCATCAAAAAAGTAACCTGCAGCGCCACACCGATTACCATCATTGGGGGAAAAAACGGTGATCCAATCTCCCACCCCCAGGAACAGGTTTGCAGATTTGCTGAGCATTTCTGTGAGGTCCTGGGGGAGGGAAAATCCCTCAGCCAGGAAAACATCGTGGCACAAAGTGAGGATGACCCTGCTGTGGCTGCGGTGCCTCAAATATTGGAAGAAGTCACCCCCTGTGAGTGGCTGGCTGAGGTGCCATCTGTTGAGGAAGTACTGAAGGCGATCCGGAGTCTGAGACCAGGAAAGGCAGCGGGCAGAGATGATCTCCCAAGCGAAATGCTGAGGGAGGGTGGCGTTTGTGCACAGACTGCCCTATATGACATCATAACAACGGTCTGGACCACTGGACGGGTTCCGCAGGATTGGAAGGATGCCCTGGTGGTCCCCCTTTTTAAGAAGGGGGACCGCACAGACTGTAACAACTACAGGGGCATCTCACTCCTCAGTGTGCCGGGAAAGGTCCTGGCAAGGATTATTCAGCATCGCCTTGCCAGGCACGCTGAGGAGAGGCTTGCGGAGCCCCAATGCGGTTTCAGGAAAGGGCGGTCCTGCACAGATGCTATATTTTCTGTCCGTCTGCTGCAGCAGAGGTGTAGGGAATTCCAAGAAGACCTACATCTCTGCTTTATTGACCTGGTCAAGGCCTATGATACCATCAGTAGGCCTGGGCTCTGGGTTGTTCTTCGTGCTTTTGGAGTACCTGACCCTCTGCTCACGATCATTAAGGACCTTCATGATGGTGAGCGGGCCCGGGTAAAACTACGTGGCCGGGAGTCAGAGCCATTCCCTGTACACCTTGGGGTGCAACAGGGATGTCCTCTGGCTCCCACATTATTTAACATCTATTTTGACCACGTAGTTCGTGAAGCCTTCAATAGCTGTACCGGGGGAATCTCCATATGGTACAGATATAATGGGAGGCTGATCGATGCCCGGGTGCGGTCAAGGGATGGCTCCCTATTGCTCAACCACGTTATGTATGCTGATGATTTGGTAATAGCTGCTCAGTCAGAGGAGGAGTTGGAGACGTTGCTGCTGAGACTGGAGCGTGCCACTAAGAGGTGGGGCCTTACCATCAGCCCCACCAAAACTAAGCACCTGCCTGGGTATTTTGTACCATCGGACACTCCACCCGCACAACTCCCAATCGGTGATGGGGCAGTTGTGGAGAGAGTGGAGAGTTTCCCATACCTGGGCAGTATGCTTATGACTGGCTCCAGTTTAACAGCAGAGGTCTCACTCCGAATCAGTCGAGCGGCAATATCTTTTCATCGGTTGCGTAACGCTGTGTGGAAGCTACCTGGTCTGTCGCTCCGCACTAAGCTTCAGGTCTTCTCGGCCACGGTCATTCCCTCCCTTCTCTACGCTTGCGAAACGTGGACCCCCCTAATGGAACATCTTCGCCAGTTAGAAACATTTAGGCTGGCCTGCCTATGATCCATCCTGGGTTTAACCAGACTGGATTGTGTGAGGCGCTCACAAATCCTTGAAAGATCTGGGCAAGGTCCCATCGGTGAGCTCCGGCGGGCAAGGCTGCGATGGCTGGGTCATGTAGCCCGCATGCCCAGCCACCGCATGCCGAAACAGCTTTTGTTCGGCCGGATCGAGGGGGCTAAGCGGGCGCGGCACGGGCTAGAGAAGAGATGGAGTAATGTGGTACAGGAGGACGTGGAGCTCAGTGGACTTGCCGATGACTGGTACCAGCGGTGTCAAGATCGGCCTCTGTGGAGGAGGCTCGTGAAGGATGCTACTGGGCAGTTGGAGGTAGTCGCCCTCCAACAACAATGGAGGGCGGAGGAGCGACGCTCAGAACAACGAGCGGAGCGCCGGGTGGCTAAAGCACAGCAGGTTGGCACAGTAGGGGGCACAGGTGGTGCATCAGCCAGTCATCTCAGTCAGTCGACCCGTGGCACCTCGGTCTGCCCCGTGACCTCCTGCCAGCGGGCGTTCGACACTTCACGTGGCCTCAGGGTACACATAGCCTGGCACAAGCGTCGTGGTGACGTCACTGCCACTTATTGGCGAATGGCGGTTGTTGTTGGTGGTGAAGGTGGATGTTTGCGAGTGAGACAGTGATGGTGGTGGAGGTGGGTGTTTGCGAGTGAGACGGTGGTTGTGGTGGTGGTGGAGGTGGATGATTGCGAGTGAGACAGTGGTGGTGGTTGTGGTGGTTGTGGTGGTGGTGGTGGTGGATGTTTGCAAGTGAGATGATGGTGGGCGTCCGTGCCCCCCCCCCTCCACTGCTCAGCCGCCACGTCGGGGGAGCGGTGGTGCAACGGTTAGCGCCGCCCCACGAACCCGGCGCCCCGAGTTACATTCCCGCTCACGGCCAACGCCGATAACGATTATCTCAACCGGTCAGGGGCCCCTCCCCTAGGTCGACCCGGCCTCAAATGAGCTCCCCGGTGCGGTGCGTGAACATCGCACCGGGGAGACGAAGGCCGCCGGGCGCGCGGTGCCGGCCACCCACCCCCTTGGCGTGCCGTTTGCGGCCCTGCGTGGGCACCGCTCGCCAACGTCGCGGGCAGCGCGGGGCCATCGTCCTGCGTCTGCCGTCTGTGCGCGTGGACAGGCGTCGCCGAGCGAGCTGCCGGTGCCTCACGGCCGAGTCCCCTTCCCCACCACGCAGAGTGACGCCGCCGCCTCGTGCCGGGGCCCCGCTGCATTCCCGCCTCACGGCCTGCTCCTGCAGGCCTTCCCCTCCACCACCACCACCATCGCTCTCGGTGAGGACACCCACGCTGCTGCTGCTGCTGCTACTACTGCTGCTGCTGCCTGCTGCCTCCTGCTGCTACTGCTGCTGCTACTGCTGCTGCTGCTACTGCTGCTGCTACTGCTGCTGCTCCTGCAGGCCTTCCCCTCCACCACCACCACCACCATCGCTCTCGGTGAGGACACCCACGCTGCTGCTACTGCTGCTACTACTGCTGCTGCTACTGCTGCTACTACTGCTGCTGCTACTACTGCTGCTACTGCTGCTACTGCTGCTGCTACTGCTGCTGCTGCTGCTCCTGCAGGCCTTCCCCTCCACCACCACCACCATCGCTCTCGGTGAGGACACCCACGCTGCTGCTGCTGCTACTACTGCTGCTACTGCTGCTGCTACTACTGCTGCTACTGCTGCTGCTGCTACTGCTGCTGCTACTGCAGGCCTTCCCCTCCACCACCACCACCACCACCATCGCTCTCGGTGAGGACACCCACGCTGCTGCTGCTGCTACTACTGCTGCTGCTGCCTGCTGCCTCCTGCTGCTACTGCTGCTGCTGCTACCTCTTCCTGCTGCCTCCTGCTGCTGCTGCTGCTGCTACTGCTGCTGCTACTACTGCTGCTGCTACTGCTGCTGCTACTGCAGGCCTTCCCCTCCACCACCACCACCATCGCTCTCTGTGAGGACACCCACGCTGCTGCTACTGCTGCTACTGCTGCCTCCTGCTGCCTCCCCCTGCTTCTACAGCTGCTGCCTCTTCCTGCTACTGCCTCCTCCTACTACTGCTGCTGCCTCTTCCTGCTGCTGCTGCTGCTGCCTCCTCCTGCTGCTGCAGGCGTTCCCCTCCACCTGCTGCTGCAGGCGTTCCCCTCCACCACCATCGCTCTCGGTGAGGACACCCACGCTGCTGCTGCCTCCTGCTTCTGCTGCCTCTTCCTGCTGCTGCGTCTTCCTGCTGCTGCTGCCTCTTGCTACTGCTGCCTCCTCCTGCTTCTACTGCTGCTGCCTCTTCCTCCTGCTGCTTCTACTGCTGCCTGCTGCTTCTACTGCTGCTGCCTCTTCCTGCTGCTGCTGCTTCTACTGCTGCCTGCTGCTTCTACTGCTGCTGCCTCTTCCTCCTGCTGCTTCTACTGCTGCCTGCTGCTTCTACTGCTGCTGCCTCTTCCTGCTGCTGCCTCTTCCTCCTGCTTCTACTGCTGCTGCCTCTTCCTCCTGCTGCTTCTACTGCTGCCTCCTGCTGTTGCCTGAGCCCCGGTTAATGCCCCCCCCCCCCCCCCCCCCGTAGACCTGCACGTGGAGGCGAGTCAGAAGGCCGCTCTGCAGGCGGCCGTGGCGATGGAGCGCTCCTCGCCCGGGGAGCAGCGCAAGCGCGGATTCCTGCAGCGCGGCTACACCGTGCAGGACTCGCAGGACGCCTCGGTAGGGAGACGCCGGCGGCCTGGTGCTGGCCACCCGCCCCCGCCCCCGCCTGGCGCGCCGGGCCGGCCTTCGTAGGCGCCGCTCGGTAGCGGCGCCCGCCCCTCTGCGGTCTGTTGAGGCTACACGGGGGAACTTTGTCTTTGTGCGAGTGGGGGTGGTGCGTGAGTGAGTGGATGAGTTGGTGATGGGGTGATAATGGTGCCCGTGTGATGGAGTGGTGGACTGTTGTCTCCAATGAGTACCCGAGTGTGCGGTGTGCATACATCGCCATTGGGGATACAAAGGCGGCCGGGCGAGCGTGGTGCTGCCCCCCCCCCCCCGTGTGATGATGGGTGGGGGTGGCTGCAGGCAGCACTTGACCCAACGGTCTGTTGTGGCTACACGAGGGACCTTTGTCTTGTGTGTGCGTGCAGGTTCACGTGCAGTCGTTTGGAGGGATGATTCTCATGGCTGGCCAGTCCATTTCCCTCGTCGCTGCTGGAGCGGTGACGCTCTGAGCCCCCACTCGAGCCAGGAGATCACGGCCATCCGGCCCACAGACACGGAGGGTGCGTGGGACTCGTGTGTGCACGCACTCGCACGCACGCACACTCACTCGCACACACACTCACTCACACACACACTCATTCACACACGCACTCACTCGCTCGCACGCACGCACACACACTCACACGCACACTCACTCGCACGCACACTCGCACACTCACTCGCACGCACACTCACTCCCTCACTCGCACGCACACACTCACTCGCACGCACACTCACTCGCACGCACACAGGCACACACACTCACTCGCACACAGGCACACAAACTCGCACACAGGCACGCACACTCGCACACAGGCACACACACTCGCACACACGCACACACTCGCACGCAGGCACACACACGTCGCACACAGGCACGCACACTCACTCACTCGCACACAGGCACACACACTCACTCGCACACAGGCACACACACTCACTCGCACGCAGGCACACACACTCGCACACAGGCACACACACTCACTCGCACACAGGCACGCACACTCACTCACTCGCACACAGGCACACACACTCACTCGCACACAGGCACACACACTCACTCGCACACACGCAGGCATGCACACTCACTCGCACACAGGCACACACGCTCACTCGCACACAGGCACACACACTCACTCGCACACAGGCACACACACACTCGCACGCACACAGGCACACACACTCGCACACAGGCACACACACTCGCACACAGGCACATACACTCGCACACAGGCACACACACTCACTCGCACACAGGCACACACACTCACGTCGCACACAGGCACACACACTCACTCGCACACAGGCACACACACTCACTCGCACACAGGCACACACACTCGCACACAGGCACTCGCACACAGGCACGCACACTCGCACACAGGCACACACACACACTCGCACACAGGCACACACACTCGCACACAGGCACACACACTCGCACACAGGCACACACACTCGCACACAGGCACACACACTCGCACACAGGCACATACACTCACTCGCACACAGGCACACACACACACTCGCACACAGGCACACACACACACTCGCACACCAGGCACACACACTCGATCGCACACAGGCACACACCACTCACTCGCACACAGGCACACACACTCGCACACAGGCACTCGCACACAGGCACACACACTCGCACACAGGCACACACACTCGCACACAGGCACATACACTCACTCGCACACAGGCACACACACACACCTCGCACACCGGCACACACACTCACTCGCACACAGCACACACACTCGCACACAGGCACATACACTCACTCGCACACAGGCACACACACACACTCGCACACAGGCACACACACTCGACACAGGCACACACACTCACTCGCACACAGGCACACACACACACTCGCACACAGGCACACACACTCGCACACAGGCACACACACACTCGCACACAGGCACACACACACACTCGCACACACGCACACACACACACTCGCACACAGGCACACACACACACTCGCACACAGGCACATACACTTACTCGCACACAGGCACACACACTCGCACGCACACAAGCGCGTGCGCACGATCACTCGCACGTGCACCCAAACACTCGCACACGTGGAGAGCCTACAAACTCCACAGTAAGGTGTGGTGATGCACCAGCCAGGAATTGAACCCTAACAACTCCTATTGTCGGGGTCGAATCCTCATTTGTTTAACGAGTTGACGCTAAAACTTGTTACATCACCACCACCACCACGTGGTGCCACCTAACCTCCCTCCGCCCTCCGCTCCCTGCAGGCATGACCGTCTGCTGACTCGGCACGCGCCGACTCCCCGCTCGTAACCGCGTGGGCGAGGCGCCCGGCGTTGAGCGGCCGAGCAGGAGCCAAGGCCTGTGCCCTCCTTCCTCACTCCCCCAGTGCCGGCGCTCCCCGGCGCTCTCCACGCCCCCTGACCGCGTCCGCCCGCACGCCGTCGCTCTCCCCGCGTGTAACCCTCGCACCTCCACCCGGGTCTCCACTCCCCGGAGTCTCCCGCAGGTCCCACGCCTACCCCCGTCTCTCTCATCTCTCCCATCGTCCCTTTCTCGTGACCCAGACAGTCGCCCCCATCCCCCGCACACCAATCCTCTTCCCCCCACCCCCCCCCCCCCCCCAGTCGTGATGGTGCCGTGCGTTAGCGGCTGTGCAACGGGTGCGGGCCGATTTCTAAAAACTCGCGACGACGCTCACAAGGGCGACGACGCAGTAACGGAGCTGGTAACGTTGGAGAGAGTTAGAGGAGGAGCGTGCCGCTTCGGAGTCGTCCGTCGAGGACTCCCCCAAGTTCTCTGTCCCTCAGTGGCGTCTCTGTCCCTCAGTGGCGTCTCTGTCCCTCAGTGGCGTCTCTGTCCCTCAGTGGCGTCTCTGTCCCTCAGTGGCGTCTCTGTCCCCCCGTGGCGTCTCTGTCCCTCGTGGCGTCTCCGGGCGAACCCTCAGCGGAACAGTTTGAAGGCGCTTCGCTGTAAACGGCGCGGCCTGTAGCCGTCAGGTGGCGACGGTCCGGAGGCTGCGGGGTGGTGGTGGTGGTGTGGTGGTGATGGTGGTGGTGTGGTGGTGGTAAGGGGAGACCGCGGTGAGAATTGGATCGCGGCGAGGATTGATGCTGAAGCGACGTTCATCGATGCCCCACCACTCCCCCCGCCCGCCCGCCTCAAATCCTCGCGAGAGGTGGGCAGTGGGGGGTGAATTTCTAATCTCGGATCGCCCCGTTTCCAATTCCCACCACGGCCGTGTGCCGCGATCCCCGGCGCGGCGGTGGAGACGACGCCGCCATGGTAAACCCCCCCCCCTCCTCCCAGCGTGTGGTGGTGGGGTGAGCTGTGGGTCCACCGGGGGGGCGCACGCCCCCCACTCGGACCGCAGGGGGTGCCGGATCGCGCGGTTTCACGTTTCCAGGATTTTATTTTTCTCTTCTTAAATTATTTACCGTGAGAAGCCCTCAATGTGAGTGGGGTTGGGGGGAAGAGGGGGGGGGGGGTTATCGTAGAATTTTACGCAAACTTTTAAATGAGCGAGCGAGCGAGCGATCGTGTGCGAGCGTGTTATGATGCGGTTGTGAATAACACGGGCGCTAAACCTGCGTGTGTGTGTGTGTGTGAGGGGCTGTACACAAACGGCGTTCGCTATTCTACAAGTGCGCACCGTACAGCGTGAGCGACCTGCCTTGCATCACCAGGGGCACAATAGGACTCTCAAATAAACACCATGGCTAGACAACCACGTGGTCTAACAACTACGTGCACGTCACACGCGTGAACACAAAGGCAAAGACCCCCCCCCCCCCCCTTGTAGCCTTAACAGGACTGTTAGGGGGCAAGTGCTGTCAGCGAGCAGCAGCAGCAGCAGCACCTGTGAAGGTCTGACAGGGGCACGTGGCCACATGGGCACGTGGCCACATGGCCACATGGCCAGCAACCACGCTCGGCCGCCCTTAGTACGCACCGCGTGCTCGTTGGAGGCCGCGCGGACCGCACGCCACACCACACACCATACCATACCACACACCACACCATGCCACACACCACACCATACCACACCATACCGCATGCCACACCACGCCACACACCACACCATACCACATGCCACGCAACACCACACACCACGCCACACCATACCTCATGCCACGCCACAACCACACACCACGCCATGCCACACACCACACCATACCACACACCACACCACGCCTCACACCACACCATGCCTCACACCGCTCGCTGTGACCCCCCCCCCCCCCCGCGTGGTGAACAACCCCCACGGTGACGGGGTTGCGTGTGTGCGGCCACTCAACTACGTTTATAAAATAATGACAACGGCAGGCTGACGATTCGCGCAAGAGCGATGCCCAGTGGGAGCCCGCTGCTCATGCCTGCTGACGGTGGTGGTTACGGTGACGCCAGCTCGATGCAATATCACAGCGGGCGGAGGGGGGTAGCGGATCCCCAGAGCTGAGGCACACGGGCAGGAGTCTAACCGAGACTTCGCACGTCCAGTGTCTCCGCTGGTGCTGTGCATGCTCTCGGCCAAGGACACGTGTGTGTGTGCGCGTACGTGTGTTCGTTGAACTTTTTACACACCGTACGCAGCCAACCGCGCTGATCGGAGGTGCGGGTTTGTTCATGTACATCCCTATGCCTGTGTGTGTCGGTGTGTGTGTCCGTGTGTGTGTGTCCGTGTGTGTGTCCGTGTGTGTGTGTCGTTACCTAGGGAGTGGTAGTGTTTCGGTTAGCGGGGAGTGTAGCGCTACAAACCCAGCGGTCAGAGTTCGATTCCTGCTCATGGCCAAGAGCAGTGATGGCGATTATTGTAACAAATCCTGGGCCTCCCCTAGGTGGACTCGGCCTCAATTGAATACCTGGTGCGGTGTGTCAACATCGCCACTGGGGAGACAAAGGCGGTCGGGCGTGGTGCTGGTCACCCAACCCTCGTGTGCTGTGCCAGCCCTTCATAGGTGCTGCTCGCTAACAGCACTTGCCCCATCAGTCTCTAAAAGGCTATACGGGGGATCTTTGTCTTGTGTGTCTGCTTGTGTGTACGCGTCCAAGTGTATTTGTGTGTGCAGTGCGTGTGATTATGCCTGGGTGTGTGTGTGTGTCCATTACCTGCCTGTGCATGCTATTGGGAAGGAAGTCTAGAATTGTGGGTGCATGTGTGTGTGTACCCTGCCTCTGTGTCTATGCCTGTACATGTGTTGGTGCGTACGTGCATGTGTCTGTGTGTGTGTGTACATGTTTGCACGTGCGTACACGCATTCGCAACCGGTGGTACCCACGGGTGCGTGCGTGCACGTCTGCGTGCGGCGTGTATTAATGCTCACCTTTGCACCTTCCTGTGCGTGCACGCGCGTGCCGTGCGCGCGCTGTTACACACTTCCGCGTACCTTAGAGTTGCGCGTGTGTTACCTGTCTCGTGCGTGCGTGTACACGTGTAGCCCTGCACTTATACGCGAGTGCGTACCCCCCCCCCCCCCCCCCAAGCACGGAGCGCACACGTGTGCCCGTGTTACCCCCCCCCGCCCCGGGCACACGCGTACGCACGGCACGCACACGTTTGCGTGCGTGTCCGTGTGCGTGTGCGTGTGCGGGCCCCATTGTGTTTCTGTGCAATATGGATATGTGTAATTTACACTGTACAAAGAGAGACGTCGCCTCTGACCCCGAGGCTGACAGCTAGAGGGGGGGGAGGGGGGGTGCCGTAGCCCCCCCCTCCCCCCCCGGTGTCACCGTGGGGTCATTTCACCGTCGTCGCGTCCCAAACGGTTTCGCGAATTTTTCTTCATTGTAACCGGTCGTTTTTTTTATTTTGTCGTTTTTTTTATTTTTAAGAATCCATCGTCGGCACGCGGTTCCATTTTTATATTCACAGTTGCAGCTTCCGCTCGCTGTTCCCGGTCTCCGCTAGGCCCCCCCCCTCCTCCTCCGTGTTAAGGTTTCGCGCTTCCTTGCCGTCACAGTCTCCGTCGCTCACACACATCAGGTATCTTTCTCTCTCCGGTTTGCGACGACAGCAGATTTCCCGACCGTCGTCGTGGCGGTCACGGTGTGGTTGGGGGGGGGGAGGGGGTTAGGCGTGCGGCTCTCTCTCCCACGCCCCCCCTCCTTTGGCACGACGCTACCTGCGGGTGGCGGTGGATTGGGTAACCCCCCCCCCCCCCCCCCCCCCATCGCTTGTGGAACGTTCTGCTGCTGCGGCAGAGTAGACCACAGACCAAATACGCTGAAGGAAAATCTGCGGTGCGCAATGTCGAGGTAGATAATTTATAAATTGGGCGGTGAGGGTGGGGGGGGGTTATATGACCATACTTCACCACGCCGGTCCACGCGGGTGAAGGCGGGAAGCGTGGACGGCGCCCGCCGCGTGAATCCTCGCCGCGCGAAAGCCCCCCCCCGGGAGAAACGTGTTTGTGGCCTGGCCCTGCCCCCCAACCCTAGCCGGGTAACGTTGAGGCCGGAGTGGACGTCGCGTTGAGGAATCGCGATCGGCGTTTGTCAACGTCTTGGTGGTCTTGGTGGTTGTGGTGGTGGTGGTGGCGCCAATTCGCCGCTCCAAGCGCACCGGCGTGCGTCCCGCGGACTTAACGGTGTACATAATCTAGTGTAAATATAGAGAGGGCCAGGGGCCTGGCGAGCCGCTCGCTCGCCTCGCTCGCTGGCCACGAGCGTTCACGGCCGGTGAGCAAGCGAGGTGAGCTCGCTGCTCGCTGCTCGCTGCTCGCTGCTCACCTGGGCACGGGTGAGCTGCTCCAGCTGGGCGTGGGTGAGCTGCTCGCCCGGGGTGCGGGTGAGCTGCTCAGCTGGGCGTGGGTGAGCTGCTCGCTCGGGCGCGGGTGAGCTGCTCGCCCGGTGTGAGCTGCTCACCTGGGTGCGGGTGAGCTGCTCGCTCGGGTGCGGGTGAGCTGCTCGCTCAGGTGCGGGTGAGCTGCTCGCTCAGGTGCGGGTGAGCTGCTCACCTGGGCACGGTGAGCTGCTCACCTGGGTGAGCTGCTCACCTGGGTGAGCTGCTCACCCGGGTGAGCTACTCGCCCGGGCGAGGGGCGAGGGGCTCACGACACACACACAGAAGCAACGTTGTACAACTTTACCCGTCCTTCCAGTCTATAAATAATAATGACGATAACTACAAAAAATATATATAACTATATAATTACATGTATTATACAGCGTAGTTTTGCATTTCATTTCCAGTGTATTGTACCGAGTGACCGCTAGTTTTAAGATGTTATTGTCATAATTCTAATAACTGCTTCCATCCGAAGTAATCCCGAGTGCGAGAGAGAGAGAGAGACGCAACACTTAACGTCATTTGTATTTGAGAATCGTGGCTCTGGACTTCTCTGCTCCACGGTGTATTTTCTGTTCGTACGTCACACACACACTATATATATGTGTATAATTATTATCGTGGTTATCGCGAAAGCATTAACCGGACGTTTGATTTTTTGTGTCTGTCCCGTACGCGAAACGGGGCGAAAAAGTTCAAAATAATAATAATAAATTCGTAACGATTAATATTCCTGTGGGCGCTGCCCCCCCCACCCCCCCCCCCCCGCGCGCCTCCCTCGTCCCGCCGAATGTGCTCTAGATTGTGTGGATATCGTTTCAGTGGCTTCGGGTGTCTTTGTGATCATCGGCGCGCGCCGCTCCCCCCCCCCGCCCACTGCCCAGCGAGGCCGACCGCCTCGGTCTCGCTCGGCCAGAGACCGATCGCTTCTGCCCTTGCTACCGCTGCCGTATTCCAAGCCGGGTTTTTTTTCTGCCGCCCGACCACGAGATGATTAAAGCGGCGATCTTTCCTCCGGCTTTAAGGTGCCCTCAGCCTGGTCAACAGCGACTCTCGCACGGAGACCCGTAGACTCTCACACAGAGACCCGTAGACTCTCACAGAGACCCTAGACTCTCACAGAGACCTGTAGACGCTCACACAGAGACCCGTAGACTCTCACACAGAGACCCGTAGACTCCTCACACGGAGACCCGTAGACTCTCGCGCGGAGACCCGTAGACTCTCACGGAGACCCGTAGACTCTCACACAGAGACCCATAGACTCTCTCACAGAGACCCATAGACTCTCACACAGAGACCCGTAGACTCTCACACAGAGACCCGTAGACTCTCACACAGAGACCCGTAGACTCTCGCGCGGAAACCCGTAGACTCTCACACAGAGACCCCTAGACTCTCACACAGAGGACCCGTAGACTCTCACACAGAGACCCGTAGACTCTCACACAGAGACCCGTAGACTCTCGCGCGGAGACCCGTAGACTCTCACACAGAGACCCCTAGACTCTCACACAGAGACCCGTAGACTCCTCACACGGAGACCCGTAGACACTCACACAGAGACCCGTAGACTCACACAGAGACCCGTAGACTCCTCACACAGAGACCCCTAGACTCTCACACAGAGACCCGTAGACTCTCACACAGAGACCCGTAAACTCTCACACAGAGACCCGTAGACTCTCACACAGAGACCCGTAGACTCTCACACAGAGACCCGTAGACTCTCACACAGAGACCCGTAGACTCTCACACAGAGACCCGTAGACTCTCACACAGAGACCCGTAGACTCTCTCACAGAGACCCGTAGACTCTCACACAAAGACCCGTAGACTCTCACACAGAGACCCGTAGACTCTCGCACAGAGACCCGTAGACTCTCGCACAGAGACCCGTAGACTCTCGCGCGGAGACCCGTAGACTCACACAGAGACCCGTAGACTCAAACAGAGACCCGTAGACTCCTCACACGGAGACCCGTAAACTCTCACCCAGAGACCCGTAGACTCTCACACAGAGACCCGTAGACTCCTCACACAGAGACCCGTAGACTCCTCACACAGAGACCCGTAGACTCCTCACACAGAGACCCGTAGACTCTCACACAGAGACCCATAGACTCTCTCACAGAGACCAGTAGACTCTCACACAGAGACCCGTAGACTCTCGCACAGAGACCCGTAGACGCTCGCGCAGAGACCCGTAGACTCCTCACACGGAGACCCGTAAACCCTCACACAGAGACCCGTAGACTCTCACACAGAGACCCGTAGACTCCTCACACAGAGACCCGTAGACTCCTCACACAGAGACC